TTAAAATAATATATAAAATAATTTTTAAATGGGTGAAAAAAACCCCACAAAACCTCCAGATCATTAAAGTAACCTGGTCTGATTTGCTGTGTATCACAGTCCACAGTCCATAGCCTGTGCCCAACACTTCACATACAGAACCAAATATCCTGTGATTGAATGACGACATGGTTGATATTGTAAGGAATTCACCACTAACCTTAAAAAATGTTCATTCCTACTGTAAGTCTTGATTCAGACTGATATACCTATAGGATTCTTAGGAAATGGGGTACTTGACTGAATTTCAGTGGGAAATGGAAACAACTCCTTTGCAAAAATCAGTGGTGTTAATAATGTATCTGTGCATGTTTCGGTAAATGGTCCCAGTGCAAGCAGCCCTTTCATTTAAAGGAGAGAACGAGATAGTGAGGTGAAACCTAGTTGATATTGCTACAATGCCTGCCCTTAGGTAAAATGAATAGTAGCTCCATGAATAAAAGGTATTTTGAACAGACGATCCCACAGGTGAAGGGCAGGGAATACTCACCATACAACTTCATGTCTGTAATTGGTGCCACCACAGCTCCACATTTGAAGAGCCGTTCACTGGATTTCAGGATCATTGATGTAATGTAGCCACCGTATCCCTAACAATGGAAGTGATATTGAGACATTTGTTGGTTTATTTCTTTCTAGCAACAATAAAGTTAAAGACCATTGTGCTAATCCAATGGTATCATTTTACAGTATGCATTTATATCACCAAGAATCGCTTTTAAAGGAAATGTAAACCTAAGTTGAGAGTGAGTAAAGATCTCGTCTGACCTGGTCATGAACTTTAAACTATGTAATTAATATTAACGAGTATATTACAGTTTAAGGTCCATAATTCCATCATGGCAGACTAGCCTACAGTTAGTAAAAAATTTGAAAATTACACAAAAAAACTACCAAACCCCAAAAAACAAAGGTAAGGATTTGGGGGGAACAGCCTAGACAGGAAGATTTGTACTCATTTTTTTAATATATTTAATGTAAATATTTGCTAATTACCAGGATACAGTCAGCATTTTGCTGACAGGACAGTCAGTATGGGTACGGGAGATACCTGCAAACTGATCGCAGTTCCCTGACACTTAAACCTTCACAGGTTGAATCCTATTGCTATTACAGAGGTTTCTGGTACAGCATCGTCAAACATCCCACCGAGAGGTACAGATCCCGCCTTGTTTTGCAGAAATAAAAGCTGTACGTAACCACATTGCTCAATATTCTGCTAGTCTCTAGATGTCCTTTCTGGCCACAAAAGCACCCGTCAGGCGGCTGTTAAAAAGAAAGGAGCAGAGACAGCATGAAGAAGCTGGGAGAGATGGGGCAGAAGCAGGGGAGCTCTCTCATTGCCTCCCCACATTCGTCTGTCCTTATGGCACATCTCTTCATCATCTCCTCTGCAAAGTCTATGATACACCTCCCTGGGAAGAGTTGCGACACAACTGAGTCATGGAAGCTTTGCTTTGCATGAAAACATGAACGCTTTAACTTGAGACCACAGATTTTGTTGGAATGATAGTGGCAATTCATATCTACACCTATAATCACTCTAGACCCACAGAAAATGAAATTCTGAATTGTGGAGTCTGGGATCAATGATTTTTCTCATACATTACAGGCTCTTCAAATTTCTCTGTTTGCCATCTTTGTTTTCCCTTCATTAGTGCTAGAAAATTGATTTCTGCAGATAATTTTTTGTTGTTGTTTGTGTTTGGCACAACACACTTCAGGTAGAAGAAATTAGCCCATGACAGGTGAAAGAAAAATCTAAAACACCAGCCATCTCAAAAAAAGGATATTGTGTATCAAATGCTCACAGAGTTTTCTTATGGACTTTTTTGAATCCTGTCTGCTCCTGTTCTTCCTGCCTAATTCTTTAATGAACAGATGATTTGTCTGGAAGAACTGGAATATTTGAAAATCCTTGAACCTCAGATAAGAAAAATAAGCAAAGACGAGTGTTCTTTGGAATCAACCTATAGGAAATGCGAACAGACACGCTAAGGGAAATACAGATTAAGATCTGGATTTTCAAGGGAGTGTGAAGAACTGAGTTATCCCTTTCCCATAGAAATTCCAGCCCAGGAGGCCAAGAGCCGCCCAGAATTGTCCATGTGCAGGAGTAGATTTCACCTGAGAAAGAATTTCTGAGTGGGCACGGGTTACTTGTATCATTCAAAGTTTAAGAGAATAGCAACTTTCCTCTGCCTCGGGGTTCTCTACTTTTCCTTTTGTTTAATATTCTGTTTGTGTCTTTCCCGGTAGCTCCACAGCACAATTTTAATCCTAGGATAGCTATTGTCATGTTATTTATTATTTATGCCATGTATTCATTAAGAGCTTGGTTTAGTTCTCCTGGGAATTTCTTTGCTTTCTGCTTGTGCCCTTGCTTCCAGCCAGGCTTTCCAGGAAAAAAAACATTACACAGTGAGATCATATTTTTAGAAGCACTTCACAATGACAATGCAGAAAACAGTTCCTACGTCCTGATGCAAGGGTACATGGTGCCTCACTCATCGGCTGGATTTCTGTGGTTACGACCTAATTGCCCTATTTTCAAGAAGCTGGTTGGCTGTGAAGTTGCAACTTATTTTCAAGCTCTCTTTCTACTTCCATGAATAAAAATGCAGACTACGTGGAAACGCAATTTGCTGTCTAACAGTTCAGAAAGGCCCTTGGATCGTGCATCGCTTGGGCTTGTACCCCTCACAGAGATAAGCACGATGGCATTGGCAGATTGCCTGGCAGTCAGAGGTAGGTATTTTCCACACTGTGACCTTCTGGATAGTCTTGTGCCTAGTTTACATTACTGATTGCAACAAGAATTTTATTTCTGCGTAGTTCTAAAACCTCTTAAAGAGCTCCACAACAGTGTGCACAAGCTCAGCTTTATGAGATCAGCATTAAGCAATTCCAAAGTCATCTTATTTTCAAGCAGAGTGCATATTCTATTTCCATGAGCAAGCCCAATTTAATGCATAGAGAAAAAAAAAGAAAAAGATTTTGCCTATCACATTGTTTTACATAGTAGAAAGAATGAGTTTTAAAGATTTTTAATTGACTCTAAAATAAGCAGAGTGGAGAGAAATACAATTAACCCTAAGAAACTGTTAAATAGATTTTTTTCCTTAATTCTAAAACTAACTTAAATTTTATGAATTTTTGTTTGACACTAGAAAACAACTCTGAGAGGTTAACTTGGAAAGGCTAAATTTCCCTGAATTCAAAGCAGTGTTTAAGCTTATCGAATATCCCAGGTTTTGCTCTTTGTTTTCTCACATTTCCACTTTTCATTCCTCAATCTTTCTTTCAGCAAATAAATGCAGGTAAACCATCAGCAGTAATATTTTATGAAAGAAGAAAAAATTAATTTTGAGGTAGCCTTTAGCAGATATGTAAAACCTTGTTTAAATGTATGCTCTATGGTAAACGTCTTATCACGTTACAGTTAGGAATCAAGATACTGCTGAATCTCCTATAGAAAATGAGTGGAATTTTCAAGTAGCAATGAAAAGAATTTCTGAGGTCAGAAAGAAGTGAGCAATTTGGGGTGCTCAGTGATTTCACTTGAGAAATAACACTTTCAATCATTTGTGGGAAGAGGATATGGAGAAATGTAGGTGTTTATATGCATGTGTACTTTCATATACGTTGGCAACAGGTACTAAAACCTGAATAGAAACGTGTGCCACGATCATCTGGTGAATGGAATCAGCCCTATTTATACCTCCTTGGCTGAAAAATCTCTGGCTGCTGCCCTACAAACCAGTACTTCATTTTCACTACACTTCACAAACATTAACTAGTCCTCAAAACGCTGCCACGCAGGAGGTAAATATCAATATCCTCATCTGACATTCAGACAGAGACACGCAGGTTAAATGCCTTGCCCGAGGCCATGCAGCACGTCAGCAGCAGAGTGGGGATGGGAACTCAGGGGTTTCATAGCGGAACGCACGCTGCTCTTGTAACGGATGGTTGAGGGGTTTGTCTAGGTACTCGATCACAGTTTGTTGTAACTTTGAGGTCAAAGGCACAAAACATCTTCATTTTTAAGATAACACTTAAAAAAAAAAAAAAAAGATGCACATGCTAGTCTGTAGAAGAAGCAGCAATTATGCAGTGTTTCTAATTGCTGGGTTTTAAGACGTCAGTAAAATGCTATTTAGTTCGTTACTAAAGGTTAAGCCTTTGCCTTGTTCTGTCTCGTGCTAGAGGCAATGACACGCCAAACAGCGAAGCCAGCTGACAAAATAGCAACGGCGAAATTTCTGGCAGATGGTGCAAAAAGAAAGCTGTTGATGGTACCATTGGGTTGTAACTCAGCTAACCTCAAGGGTCAGTAAGACATTCAGATATAAAAGTTGTATTAGAAGGCCATTGTCAACGCAACTGCAGCCCAAATGTAGAAGTGTAAGAAATAAGCTTTCACGAAACCTAATCCCATATTAAAAATTTCTAAAGAAAGTAGATTTTTTTAACAATCCTTTCTCCTGCAGATTCTGAACCACAAATACTGCACTACCACAAAACGGATCTGATTGATCTCAAATACTCATTCTGAGAAAAAAATTAATATACAGAATATACAGTAAATTATGGAAGGTTTTTTTCCCCTCTCTTAACTGAAATTGTCTTAGTAAAATAGATAAATACATTTGTTTATGAACTGATAGTATTTTCTTAAAGCATCATGATGATACATCCTGCTGGTTTTATACATTACCTTTCCAAATATACTCAGCCTCTTAGGATCAATGAAGGGCTGCTTCAATAGTGATCTGCAAGAAAACAAGGGGTTTTCTAATTTGGTAAAATGGTGAATTTTACTTTTTGAATCTAGTATATAAAGAAAATTATTTGCACAGTCAGGAATTGTCACACATGCAGAATAGGCAGAAGAACAAGTTACACCAATAAACGTATTATTGCATTGGGTAATACGATTTGCTTTCTAACTCCTTCTCTATATGGCAAACAGCATGCTGGGCTCATCTCACCTAACTTTAGATATCTGAATTTGAGCATTATGCCTAAATTGCCCATTTATATCTGCTTCTTAGTTAGAGGCAAGAAGAGAGATACTCTCAAACAGCCATTCTTTCCCACCCATGCTGGAAACCTCTCTCAGTCTGGGGAGAATCAGCCTCCAGAAATGCCAGAATTTTCCACCAACTAGAGCTCAAATGACTGGCTTTTACCAGATGCCTAGTTTTTCAGTAATGAAACTTCTTGAATCTAGATAATTATCCAAATAATTAATTCTCTCATCAAGGCCATTAATCAGTAATGGTGAATTTTATACAGAAAAGACAGAATAACCTGAGGGCAAAATCCAGCTGCTTTTGAGGAGACAAAACCTGCTGCAGTACCTCCTCTCAGCCAAGGGCACCCTCCCTTTTTCCCATGCAATGCATCCAAAAAGAGCCCAGATGTAATTTAGCCTAAAACACCTGAGTATTTGAGCAGAGAGCCCAGTTCTTGCAGCACAGCATATGGCCTGCTTCTGGTGGCCCTTTTGCAAGGGTCACCTTGAATTGCTCTGCTCATCGTAGCCCATTCCTGACCAACATGAACACTAGCAGCCCTGTTGCCCAGGTATGCCATGTCAGAGACAGTTGCCTACTCATGCAATGGCTGAAGCACAAAAAAAAAAAAAAAAAAAAAAAAAAAAAAAGTCTGGCTTAAAATCTTTCTTTCCTTGAGAATCCCCAGAAAAAGTCCATCCAGACCTTGGTATTAGCCATTTTGACATGTGCAACCTGAGTAAAGAGTGTTGTCAAAGCCACGTGTGATTACTCCACAGATGGAAAAGACTCTTTTCTGCAGCTGGTGGATTTATATCAGTCTAAGAACAATAATGCAAATGAGAAATAACAGGCATTTGCCCAAATTTTGCTCTCATTTACACCATTATCACTCCATTTGCTTTGTACGATTACTCCAGAACTCTGTGGTGAAAATGAGAGCAGTATCCCATCATTTAGGCCTAAAACATTGTAACACAAATGCAGTTAAACATTAACTCGTGCACTGCAAGAAATTTTGCTACGGAATATAGAGAAATACAAATTAGTTCAGGTGGCATATTGAGATTGCACACCGAAGGACATCTTTATCAAAGAGAAGTGCCAGCACAAAAAGTAAACACCGCTTTGATCTTTTATTTGCTGTTTGTAATGAAAAGATTATTGTTTCAAAATTTGCAACTGCATTAAAAATAAACATTAACAGTATTCACGAGGCAAAGAAAACATTCTGGGCAGTTTCAGGTAAACATGCTCGTTCATCAAGGTGGAAGCAGGGTAAAAGAGAAAAAAAGTTTGCACATACGTACTCTACGGCTGCTATTTGGTCCTTCACTTCCACTGATCCTAAGCATCGGTGGACCTCCTGTAGAATCTTAAGGCCTTGAAATCCACTCCCTCTGCCATCAAATCGAGCTACGATGACATTATCAGAGTTGACAAGCACTGAGTCCCAGTCAATGTGAAACTTATCTGTAACCAACTGGCTGCCTGGAGCTTCATCACTGCAAATACCAACACACCAGACACAAACGAAGACTATTGACAATGTGATGCACTTTGCCGTTCTCCGATATTTTATTTAACCTAGATGGCAGAGTTCAGTCGGTTATGCAATCCTCTTGAATTATTGTCACTTCCATCGATACTATCACATTAGCTAGTGCTGGTATCCCTGCAGCAGTAGTAAGAAAAATAATCTCTTTAACTTTATAACCACTGTGTTGCAGTGTTGCCAATACCTGAATATACTTTATAGAAGGAAACAGAAAACTAAAGCACGTAGTGCTGCTTATAGGTTAATAAAATGAAAAAAAAATACCATGATCACTAACGACTAGCTCAGTTCTGAGAAGGCTCATGTAGAATTTGTTAAGTCACACTAAACAGACAAAAAGGAAAATTCATTCGGTACCCTGATTATGATTTTGTAGGATATATAATACTATTAAGAAGCATGTCATCTTAGAAAACAAAAATAATTGCATTGTTGTATCCTTGAATGGAGTTTTTGAAATTGACTACAAAGACGACTAAAGTATACACTGGAGAAAATTATATTTTCTCCATCTAAATTCATAGCAAGAAATGGATGCAGGCAGGAGTGGTAAGTTTATTTTATGACTAAAAAAACCCGGTGGTTTACAGCAGAGAAGGTGGAATAGAATAGGAGAATGCAGTTTCTAGAGGAACAATAAGCATTTTCTATTGAAGCCAAATATACTATTTTTCTTCCAAAGAAAATAAAATGTCAGTTTTAAAAGGGAAGCTTGTCATTATTTTTCCCCCAAGATAAACACAGAATAAGAGAGCAGGCTACCATGAAGTTGTAGAAAATGCAAAATACTTCTATGCAGGCTGCATCTGCCAGTTGAATGCAAATTAAAATGTAAAAGTGTCTGTGCTGGCTGTATGTAAATTAGATTGGACACTGTCTGTGGGAATATCTTGTCTAAGGTGAAAGATGAAGACAGAAATTATTATTTTGCCAAAGAGACTTATATAAACCTGGGGCGAGGAAAGAGAGATAAAAATCTCCTACAATAACTACTATCTTATATGTACAATAATGTGCTGATTCAATTCTGGTTTTGGCTGTGGATAACATAGATCATCTTGCTTAATTGGCAAGCATATGATGAATACATATGTTCTCAGTCAGATCTACCTACGTAGCTGCTGTATCATGCACTGAAATCAGAATTACTCGGTTATGTTATGCTTGATTCACCATTATCTTGTGCATCAAGTTTATATTTGGCTTTAGAAAAAGAAAGGAAGGGCATTTTTTGTTTGCTTAACCAATTCAGTTGTGATTATGCTAACTGCTAACAATGCAGAGCAATGAATTTGGAAATACTGATTGTCAAGTGAGCTCTACAGAAAACACACGGTTCAGAAGTATATTATCGTTATTATTTATAATAAGAGCAGGAGCAGAACGATTCTTTCAATTTCTGCTTATTGTACAGAGCAAGGTTTTGAGAAGCACTCTACATTGACATGGATGTTTTCCCAGAGCTTTTACCACTACTTCCAATAGTAGCAGCCTCAGATATTTATTTTTTTTTAAGTTCTTTCAACCTCCTACAATAAGATAATATGTCAGAAATATCCTTGTTTGGCTAGGTATCTTTCCAACAGTTTAATGCACCCCACACAAGCGAAAATATCACGAGTCAGCCTGCTCTTCTCCCACCTAATATAAGAAGAAAACAAATAAAGTGTTCACATTTGTTTTACACATGTTATATATCCAGGTTATATATACACATATGTGTGTGCGTTATACACTAAGACACTTAGGAACAGGGGAAGACCCGTTACATTTGTAAGCCTTTCTCTATACCAGAAAGCGCTTAAAACCAAAGAGAGTTTTAAATGAAAGATGGTACTCTTGGATAATTTCTTCTGTTAAGAAAGGAACAACAGACAGGACCTCAGCAAGATTCTCAGTGGGCAAGAACTGACAGTGATGTTTTCCCAAGCTCCTTCTCTGGAGGGCATAGCTGGGCTACTCTTAGGCTCAGACCTTAAACACTATACATCTTCCACTCCTGCATGATGGGTTATTTGACACATTGCTTTTGGAAGCAATTTTGCAGTGGCTACTTTATTTCAAGAATGTCCGTGTAAGTAGTCTGCGACAGGCATTTAAAGCCATTTCCATTGAGGTACGTGTCAAAATTCCTATTAACATCAAAAGGTCTCTTTACTCTTCAGCTGCTACTATAAAATGATACTGATTATCTGAGGTGTACTTCTGTCCTCCACAGAGAGACAGCATATATTCTATGCACTATTTAGACCCCACTTTTAACCTTTTATATGGGACTTCTGCAAGGTATTAATCCTTTATGCAAGTCTGAACATCACCCTGAGGGCTCTAACACAGCAAGTTTGTTACTACAGTGCAGTAATAGATGCACAGCCTGATTTGTGAAGTTTGTCCTGGGATTACAGCTATCTCAAAGGTCAGGTTTTGTTTTATGCTCATCACTACTTGCAGCCTAATTACAATGAACTACTACTGTTCAGTGGTACTCTTCACAGAATTATTTCTTCACCCCACTAGTAAGCCTGGAAGAAAGTCTGTGCCATTTATGCTTAGGTGCAACACAAACACAGAAGTCTTCTTCCCACCTGACTACGGATGGCCATAAGGGAACCATAGACTAGCCCACGCACTACAGCAAAATCGAAGCCAGCACCAAAAGGGCTGTGCAAATCTACAGGCACTTCAACGTCCCTCAAGGGTTCCTTAAGGGGCATCATCTCCAGAGTCAAACAAGAGTAGAATGAAGAATTTGCCTAATCCTTCTTGATTCATTCTTTTTCCCTAGTAAGCGACAGCACTTGCACTTCCCCTTCTTTATTTTTGCTGCTGACTTTCAAGGTTCAGAGCTGCTGTGTGTGTGTCTTCGACAGCGACTACACTTGGATTATGAGTCCACCGTGGCAGCGCGACTGCTGACGACTCGGGCGTACTGCTGAAGTTCACCATCGAGGTACCATTTAAACAGACAGAAGCCATCAGTAATATACCAATATCATTGACCTTAGTGGGTAATTTGTATGCTTCTTGCAAGGTAGTCACATACATCTCAGACTGTCTGGAAAAAGGGGCAGCTCATTGTAAGTTCATATATTGCTGAAAAGAGAAGAATCTGTTCTTTCAGATTCTATAACCAAAAGCTTAAACTAAAGTCTCTGTTCAGGACTTGAGTTACAGCCTACAGGGGATAATATAGTGTTACCAGAGAGGCTGCTGCTGCTGTACTCTCAGCAACACTCCTCTGCCACTCTGCTATCATGACTGCAGCAAAATTTCTTCCAGATTTTGCACCATTTAAAAACTAAGTGGCAAGATTTTAAATAAGAATTTTACAAGCTACAGGTCTGACCAAGCAGGGGAGAAAACAATTTTAAAAGATACATGGCAAATGACTGCTATCATCACTGCTGAATTTCCAGTACATCTCTTTCTATTTCTGTAAAACAGTGGATTTGATGCAGCATATGGAAAAGGTATCTTGATAGCAAATATGTGAGAAAGATTACAACTCAGAGGATAAAATCTATGCAAAGAAATATCACTGATAAAAGTCATCTTTTGCTTACAGTGAAGCTGAGTGAGGAAAGACCATTTTGCAAAACTGGTGTAACAGAAAAATCCCCTTCATTTTCAGATTTCGTGAGCATCTCGTTCACAAGCACCAGCTTTCAACCACATCCATCATTACTGGTCAAAAATCAGGGAACCTGAGGAGCCTCAAACACTGAAGACAGAAAATCCCAAATGTTTTCTCTCTGTTCATATAACCTGTTTAGATATAGCAGACTGCAACTAAAACCAGACTGTTTGTTTACAACTCCTCCCTGCAGATACGGCCAGACAAATTAAAACATCACCACAAGTGATTCCATTATGAGGGTAGAACCATGTGATAGAGAGGGCTGAAGTAGATAGCATAGTACAAAAAATAAAATTGTTATTAAAATCTCTTTCTGAAATCCTTGAGGCTGAAGACTTTGAAAACTCAATTTTGAGAACAAGAGATGCAACCCTGTCCTCTGTCATCAGAAAAGGAAGTGAAGTTTTGAATCTCCTCTTGTCTTTTTCTGAGCAAGATTAAATGAGCATTTAATTCACACAGTAAGATGTGTACTGCTGTGGGGGCAGAGGAGGCTGAAAGAATACGGATCCTAGCTCAACTATTTCCCAATTTCTTTTTTTGGGGACAAGACTGAAGAGAAAGGGAGTAAGGAGGTCCATCTCTGCCCATAGCATCAGGACCACTACTGCAAATGAAACAGCTGGAGTAACCCTCCAGTCTATCTCTCTTTTAGCCTAAGCTAAATGAATTTTCCCTCTGGGCATTGAAAAATATTGTAAGTTCAAAGAACGGGGAAGAAAATCTACAAGAGTAAAAAAGAAAAGACTTTTCATCAAATACTTTGATGTAACAGAAACACAACAGAGCAGTAAAATACTGGCACACTCGGCAGAGGCAGGATGAATACATCCATTAGATGGATGGCTTGCAAGGCAATTAGTGAATCGTTCACACGACTTAGGGATCCCAAATGAAGTAAATTTTGCAGCTGTTTTACAGAGGAAGAACTGGCCAAACAAAAAGGCCTTCAGGGATGTCCTCCTCGCCAAGTAGTGGAATCTACCACATATTTTTACACTTCACCATGTAGCCAAGTATTGTTCCTTCACCCACCACAGCTGCCAGCTGAACAAGTAATATCCTTTGCAACAAATGAAAGATATGCAAGACAGCTATTAATACACAAAGTGTTACCGTACATCAGATCTCGAGCATTTCCAAATACTTGCATCACGCCGCTCTACATTTCTTCTAGTCTTTTAATGAGTTATTCCTGAAGCTGTGAAAAAATCCTCACTTCCAACCCTACTGTCTTATCTTTCTATCAGTCCCGAGAGTGTATTAACTGGAGGCATAAACAGGTTTGATTGCCTGTTGCAAGGCCTAAAACTTTCATCATTTCAATAACAGGTGAAGTGATTCCTGTTTATTACCAAAATATAAGAAAACAAGTAAACAAATAAACAAACAGAAACCTCTTGGAGACAATTCACTGTTACTTTGGAGAATACCTGTTGGTTTTTTCCACCTCAAATATCAGAACAATCTCTCCGCTGATTCAGTTTTATAATATCCACTTACACATTGGACAATTTTAAACGGCATTGAATAATAAATGCTGACATTTAAGATACATTATCTACAGATTTTCAAGGAATGAGGTTAATTATGTTCAAGAAAAAATAAAGAATTATTATCACCTCTCATTTTATTATCCAGATTAAATGCCAGAGTCTTTATTTAATCATTTCCTGTGTGTTACCAAGGAGTATATCTTCCAACTTTTTTAATGAGTAAGGTGAACCATAATGAGAAAATCAAGGATCTGAAATTTAAACTTTGATCTTAATTATATAGAAAAGAGATGATAATCACTCTTTCAGGCAATTACTGTACCCCTCTCTAATCTATAGCTACACTGTATGTATTATATCAGAAGGAAACTGAGTGTGAAATGTATTAGTGGTTTAGGAGAACAAATGGAAGAAAGGAGACTGTTATAATCCATTTAGCATTTTATGGCCTACGCATCACAGTTGTGGAAAGAAAAATAGCGCTAGCTGACATAACTGGTTTCTACATGAGACCTGTCTGTTAGAGAGTCCAGCCATAGAGATGGACATAAATTTTAACACAGCAATACAACGATCTTCTATTTGAGCATTGCAGCATGCTTTGCAACTACTAATGGATGAATCTTCACAAAATCCTTATGATGAAGGTTACAGGATATTCAGGGCCTGGTCCGTAAGGTGAACTTGTGTCTATGCAGAGCTGCACTGCGTTCACATCCAGGTTTCACATCAGGACCACAATCCGCTGGTGCAGGCTCCCTTCCAGGATTCAGCCTTAACACTCAGATACCTGGGTGCCATGTGCTGGAAGTTCAAATCTATCTGTAGGCATCCTCGCATGAATACAGGAGCCTTATTGTAGTCATGCAGCTTTGCAATAGCTACTAACTTTCAGTGATCTCAAAAATAAACCCAAATAATACCAAACTTTCTCCCTTTTATCCATTTCGAAATTCTGTGATCATGACTGCAACCCTATTGATCCAGAGAGCACATTAGCACCACACAGAAGCGGTCGCAGCTGAGGAAAATTTACAGTAAAATTACAAACCTCAGCCATCAACCCGCCACTTTATTCTAAGCCAGCAAAACCAGCCACCAGCACAAAAATTCTGCAGACAGATGAGACCACACAGGCAAACTAGATCCTGGCAAAACGTGAAGAACAGGGAAGATGAATCTTCACCAGAGGCTTGGAGTGACTCTGAAGCAATCACTGCAGCCAAACGGCCAGTCAGAGCCTGTTAGATCTTATATGCCATATTTACCCTCCAGCTTAGGGGACAAAGCCTTTGTGCACTTAGAAGCTTCTATGCACTTAACTAGGCATTTAATTTGCACTGCAGAGATGTATTAGGTGAATTTCAGGTTGAAACTCACATTTCCCTTCCCTTCCCTTTTCTCTCTTTTTCCTAAGTCCCTGACAAACTGCAGTACTACTGAGATGATGGAAAGCAAAAGCCACTTCATATCTGCTAATACTTCACTTTTCCAGATATGTATCTTCTCTTTACATACATCTAAGTGTATGCTGCCTAGATCAAGATGTTATATAGAATCTCCTTTCTAAAAAATGGATATACAATTAAACCAACATTCTTACCAAGGATAGTGGTAAGCATTCTTTTTCAAACTTTCAATAGCTGGAAAATAATGAGAATTGTATCATGGCTGAGAATGCAAGCAAGACAGTAGATGCAGCTGAACACTATGAAAGGCAGCGCTTGTTATCAGCCACTAATACAATTCCCGTCTAACAATTCTAGCAGTAGGAACAGGGTGTTTCTCAATCAGTCCCAACAGTACCGCTCTGGGACTCAGGAAAGCCAAATATCTGGGAAATGATACCATATATACAACTAATCAGGTCTTCCTGTAAAAGCTACAAGTTCTTCTTGGACCTGAATACTTTTTTTTTTTTTTTTTTTTTAAGTACTACTTCTGATAATGACATAAACCTTAAGATGTCAATTTGGATGTGTGTGGGTCAACAAATTACCCTCTGCACGCACACAGATTTCCAATCGTTCTTTCTCAAGAGCTAGGCAGAATTTCTTAGGCTCAAATAATCATTCCACAAGGGAATCTCCCATAACTTCAGTGACAGTTTTCAGTTTTATATCTCATTTGGGGACATCTTTAACACAAAAAAAGGATTGTTGGCAACCTTAGTTAAAAGACTGTAAAAAGCTGCTGAAGAAACAGAACTTCTCTCTCCTCTAGGGAAGGGGGGGACAACACATGCAACGTTACATGAGCCAGGATAGATTTCAAATTTTCAGTTTCATACTTTCATTATTGGACAGTGTTTTCAAAAAATAACTCCTGTTAAAGCTAACATTGAGAATTCAGTATTGCAAAGGTAAGATTTTGACTAAAAAGAAGCAAATTCTCCATATTTTAAATGTAGATACCACAATTTGTATTCATAAGTGGATGAATTTCCTTTTTATCCCACATGCACATCATAAAAAATAATAATTATAAAACATATCCATACATTATGACCCGGCCACATTATTCGCTCACTGGTTACTGACAACTTTGGTAAGTTTAAATTCAGATTTTGCCTCAATACTGCTCTCAGTTATTTCAACTCTTGATATCTAAAAACATTTCATAATAGTATTTCTTAATCTTTTTTGTTTTTTTCCCTTTTACTGTCATTTTTGGCCTTGGCCTTCTCCAGGTTTCTGATCCTTCCCTCCTATCTTCTCAAGGTACTACGTGAGTATGTAACCTCAGGAGGTCTACTCCAGGTGATACAGCTCCGCTAATGTGGTATTTTCATGACTTTAGCAGTGCACTCCTACGTTGCATTGGCGAAATTCACATCAATTCCTTCCAAATGGGACTGGAAGAAGATCTGTAGGTGCAGGAAAGCCCTCTGCACCCATGGCAGACCCATGCTGAGCTCAGACAGAGAGCAATGCATGATGCCCTGAGCTGGCTGTCACCGGTTTTCCTAGGTAGGATGCAGGTATGATCATGACTGCTCTCTTCCTCTTCTATACATTCTGTAGACATGCAACTTAAAAGCTGACCATCTCTGAAAGAAATACACACACTACTCCTTTTTAAACAAACAGTGCAGGTTGCCAGGGAGTACGTCCTTCCTCCCACGGAGGCTTTCTACAAACATCAACAGACTTTGGATCATGCCTATAATGCTTTCAGCCATTGATGCTCAAGAATATTTTTTTCTTCTTTCCAGTGTTCCAAAAAAAGCAGTTTTGCTTTATGCATCTTAACTGAGTCTCTCTTACAAGCTCTATCCACTTCTATCAGGGATAAAACAGAAAAAAAAAACGAGCACACGGTCTGTGGGCAGGGATCAGTGTGGGTCCAGGAAAGCCTGCAGAACTACCACAGTTACACCATCAGAAGGGCCAGTGCCTCAGGTATATAAAAGTACAACAAAGCAGAGCTGGGTTTGATAAGCTCAAAAAACCCCAGGCATCTATGCCAGACCACACCAATAACAAAATCTTCCTGAGACAAGCCTTTTGATTTATCAACTCAAATCCATGAGGTAATTTTGCTACACAAGGTAAAAAACCATTTTCCTATTACAGAGTTAGTTTTCTATGAAGTAATTTTTACTATTTTGAGTGATTCTGCACAGATACTTACATTATTAATAGAAGGGCATACTGGTTTCGATCCGTGAAATCTTTTGGCAGTGACAACTGTAAAGGGAGTTCTTTTAAGAAAAGAGCAAAACATTAAAGGCTGGTAGTTACACAGATGAAAAAAAGTAACATCGTAAGAAAGCTTTTCGTTTGTTAAAATAATATTTTGCCAAATTTACCGTAATCCTCAATGTGAAGCATTTTAATTTCAGTCCTCGAATTCTTTTTCTTAAAAATAGCTTCCTTCAACACAGCATTATTTTCCAAAATATAAAACTCTATAGAGAACAGGAAGAAAAAACAAGTTGAAAGGTACGGAGACTTATCATATCAGAGATAAATCAAGATTCAAAAAAATAAAGAAAAAGAGACAAATGTGTAGTGATAAATCTTGTAAATGAATTCCTTCTGTAAATACTTTTTTTATAATGCAACTGTTTTGCAATTCAGGAACTGAGCAATCAGCTTAATTCAAAACATATACATCTATTCCATTTTCTGGCTTCAGCAGGCTTTGTTTTCGTTACGCACTAACAATGAAATTGCTGATGAACGACATGAATAGTAGTGTCTCTGACAAAGACTAACAGCAGCTGTTTACAGGGAAAGGCTACTCTGCTGGGCAGTATCCTAAGCCTCAAGCAGGCATCCTTTTCAAGCTCCTTATTCCAAGGCAAGATTTAGCCAGCTCAGCTCTACTTGATCCCTGCATGTCCTTCTCTGTCTTCTGCACTTCAGCCAGGAGCAAGCTGTCAGTTTGGTTTAAAACTACAGGCAGATTTGAAGCAAATCTTTTGCAAACAGAATGACTAATCAGTGGTTTTTTTTCTTTTCTTTTTTACTCAAATTGCCAATCTTGCTTCCAAAACGTGGGTTTTTTTATTAAACAATAAACCCTTCACTTAGGGCCAAAACGGATAATCTAAGGAGAATGTTTGTTCTGGGCAGTCAACCAAAATGGTATAATTATAGTCTGAGGATGGAATAATTGAAGTAATCGTTAATCATTCTTTTATGAATTGAAGATGATAATCTAATCTTCTGCTGAAACATTAATGGTAAATTATCTCTCTTATTATTTGGTTTCTTGTTGTTACAACAAACAATGTCCCTCTATCCTGACGGGCTTTGTTTTGCCCTAAGATGCTGTACATAAATCTCTTTTACAATAGTTCACTATCAACAGTATTTTAGATGCAAGTAATAAAGAGCAAAAGTCTACCTTCATAGAACTGAGTAGCTCTACAGAAGTCAATGAATTTACTTTGAGCAGTAGCTACCCCTTAATGAGTTAGGATGAAACTCCCCCCCCACTGGTACAGTGACATTAAATAAAATAAATTTTAAAAAAAAAAAGGAGCCAAAGTGCAGACATTAAATAAGACTTGATAGCATTATACTATTGATCAGTACGCTACTTCAACATGTGAGCTTGGGTCCACCATTGTGACTGAACAGTGGCTGGCCCATGACAAAGGGGATGCAGAGAAGTACAGTTCAGGACTTCTGGATTCTGCAAAAAAATTCTGGGTATAATCTTTTGAATGAAATTAGGATAGGTAAGGATTGTTTTAGTGTTTTTGAATGGAAACATGTTCCATTTCCTCTAATCCACACCTTCATGCTACATGGAGCGACAGTGGAGCTGGAGGTACCAGAGCTGTTACCTCTACTGCACCAGAGAAATACCTAAGTGAGGAAAATTCTGCTGCTGAAGGAGAGTCTTCCATTACAAAGCACCTCAAGCAGCCAGGAAACAGCAGCAGATTTGGTGTCAATATACAGAAAACAATGAATAAAACTTGAAGATTAGAGGTATTGAATATCCTCCTAAAAAGCCTTTATTCTTGGATTTGCCACCATTTAAAATGTCAGTGGAGTTGCTCTGATTTGAGAAATATGAGAAGGACTAAGTTCATCATATGTAGGTCAGATTTTACGATCAATCATCCAAGGACTGTACCTTACTTCAAGATAATTGGATTGTACTTTAAAAACATCTCTAAAAATACAAAAGGTGTATCATAAGAAATAATTTACATAGAAAGTGAAATGGATGAAGATCAACTTGCCATCTAATTAAGTCAAGTGTAAATAGCAGATGAATGATATGCACTTAGCATAAAACATATCCGAAAAGCCTGGGAAAGTTTTAGTCATTTGATTAACTTCTTTCCTTATCATTTGCAGATGTGGAGGTTGCTAAAAGGTAATTAATAGAACTTCATATGAATGAGCCATCTATTAGCTTTCATTTACTTGTAACTGCCTTTCCCCTCCTCCACACTCTCCAAACAGTCAAGGACAATAATAAAATACACCTATTCCATAAGGAATACTCACTTGTAGTATTACTTGTACTGTGCACGCTAACAACTGGAACGCCTGGCCCTGTTTTCAGGAGAGAAGAAAAACAGAGGAAACGTAGGGTAGTTAGCACTCAGTAACTTCAGTAACAAAGAATGAGAGCACCAGTTACCACGTAGGACCAGACCCTGGAAGCCCTGTACATGCCTCCCTTCAAACACAGCAGTAACTCCACCGGTGTCTCTTGGGAAGGACACAGGTTACACTACGGTACCAACAAAGCACGAAACGGAGATGGCCTTCCCCCTGTTCCGCAAGCAGTTTAGACCCTTGCGCCCAGAAGGAGCATTTTTTTTTTTTTTTTTTAAATAATCTCCATGTTTTAGCTCTAAGTGAAGAATAAAAAAATTATGGAAGCACTATCTAAAATATAGCAATTTGACATTCGGAAACAGTAACTTTAGGTTGCCTGGGAAGTGAATTTATGATAATATTTGCTTATATTTTCTATGGAAAAGCTACAGAGGTGTTGAAAAATTATCACATATTTCACTTAATTATCTGTTTAAGAAGCTCCTTTGGTACGCCAGCTCTGCAAGACCAACAGCATCACTGTTAAATCTAGGTGGAATGTAATCTAATCTTATTTCATGGTAATGTCAGATACTGTATTTTTACTGTACCACTAAGAAACTAAAAGCACCAGGAATAATTCTTCATGTCGATAGGTATTGTGCAAATGCACAAGATGGCATGTGACACTGGGGTGGCCAAGCATTCAGCATACTCAGATGTACAGCTGAGTTTGCTCCCCCTGCTCTGAGGACCCTCCCCAGTGTAAACTTGCAAAAGAAAATTTTGTGTCGTGTCGTCCCCCCCCCATAGAATTTGTGCACAGAAAACTTAGTTTTATCTCAGTGAGACAAGAGTTTAAATCAGATGCAGGCAGTCACTATTGCGCTAGGAAGGATGATGCAGAAAAGTCCCTGAGGATCGCATGGCAGATGAAGGCGTGGACCTTCTGAAATTAGGAGCTAAGCCTCCTCTGTTTTTGAGAAAAGAAGATTCCCTTTGAGAGCAGTTCAGAGACAGAGCTTAATTTATGTGTTTTGAGTCATCCTGAGAGGTTGTCTCTCTCAATTAATTACGGCATGAGCCTAGGGAAACTTAAATACCTGAAATAAATAGCATGATGCCATTCACAGCCTCTGACAGCCTCCACTGAAGATTTTTATCAATTTTGTTCTCTGTCTCAAGGGATACTATTGACAAAAATCTTACAGGTAGATTGCTGACAAATCAAAGCTTTCTGCCTTAGCTTTTCAAGAAGATAATTTCTTCAGCTGTCTCTTTTTGGTTTGGTTTGCTTTTTTCCAGCTCTTTTTACTTCTGAATTTGTCATTTTGCTTTGAATTCCAATTTAAGAAAGACCATTTTTGGAGGGGAAAGCACTGGCATTTTCCAGGCCAGCTCTATTTCTCGTACTAAAAGATGGAAGGATGATGACAGATTTTGAAAAAGGGAGATTACAGTGGGTTAAAAAATTGATCAGAAAAGAGAAAGACAGACTTGTGTTACAGCTCATCAGAACTAAGCACAGCACTTGGATTTCCCATTGACCTCCTATAACTAACACTAAATCCACAACTTATTTCCTGCTGTATAAAATAGGAAAAAAACAAGTGAAGTATCTTATTTGAGTGGAGAGATTAACATCTGTTAGTGTTTATGAAATGCTAAAGGAAAAATCCACAAGCACTGTGGAAAATAAGTGTAAAGGACGCGCTTGACAAAACTGAGAGGCTGTAGAGCCGGTCCTCCATCTACCAGGCTAGAAATAACTCCTCACTCAGGAGAGTCTCTGGAGATGGATACAGCTGGTACACTGAGACAGATCTCCTGGCTGAGGGTAACTAAAAAGGAAAAACTATCCTAATAAAGGTGCTCACGGGTAAACCAGAGGTGGAAGAATTGAAACTTGTATAGATCAAACCAGTCCAGAGTCCCCCAACGATTTTTCTGGGCAAATTGCTTTTGTAACAAGTCAGTCAGGCTTTTTGGTGTTGGAAAACGAGTGTGTATGCACATAGGTGCGCAGTTATCTGTCTCCTTGAAGCAGTTTACCTCGTACTCTTACAAGTAACTCCCTGCAGAAGATTTTTAATACCTGCTCTATGGTGATGTTGCCATCAGCCTTGATACTGCTAAATATCCACCCCACCACCGACATTTTGCAGAGCTGTGGCAGTACACGGGGGCCACGCTGCTGCTGGAATTGTCAGGCTCTGATGAAACACAAGAGAAGACCTCTGAATAACCCCAAGTCGACAACTATACATTAATGTTAAAGGTAGGAAAACTTAATGATGGTGTTTTATCATCCCTGCCCAACACCTGCAGCTTAGGGCAGTCTTCTGGTTGCAACTCAGTGGAGTGTAGGTTTAATCCTGGGAGGATGATCTACAGTCTTACCAGCTGAAACAGAGAACTGCCATCTCCAAAGTCAATGAAAGTCATGAGCTTGTGAGCAATTTCATATGCAACCACCTACTGGCATCCACATTTTTATATCAAAGGAATACATTAACAATTACAGGCTGAATATACTTTGCTAAAATAATAACATGAAGCTATGTTTTTGGGCCGTAGCACATTGCTGATTCAGGGCAAAAAACTCTTTCCAATTCACCAACCCTCCATCTTGCAGGAATCTGAGACATTCCCCACAGGGACTATGTCAAGCACAAGGGAAAACTCTGCTTAAACCATGAGGAGCTCATTACCAGTGCAGTCTTTACCCAGATAAGGGCCTCAGGATTTGCTCCATAACTCCTGCTGCAGCTTTAACTATGTATAAGCCATACAGTTGGTATTTTTTTTCTAATCAGCTATGTATTATAGGTGCAATTCCACACACACAAAAAAATCCAATCTTATTTTAGCCAATATATATTCATAGTTTGTCTGTTTGAATAGATTCAACTCTCAAGCCAGCAGATATTTTATTTTTGTGGAAAAAAAAAAAAAAAACAAACAACCAAAAAACAACCTATAGTTGCAAAAGAAATAGAAAAAATGCATGCAAATAGAATGGGCTATTCACATGTATTTCAGATGAATTGTGTTCTACTCTTTTCAATGTGATGCTAGTTGAGCAAAAATACTGGGAGAACATTGTCTGTAAAATACTGCAAGTTTCAAGGTCAACAGGTCTAGCTATACACTTTATTATTGATTGTCTCGTGCTTTTCTGAACCTGTTTTTATAATCTTACTTATTTATCAGCGTTCATTTCCTGGGTGTAGGTTATAAATTTCTCAGTGTGTGATGATTCTAATTTCCTGTTTATACATACCAGCTCTGAACCAAGTTGGTGCCATTCGGTGCTACTGGGATGCAGCTAACAATAAAAAGCTAAGTTATTTATTGCAATTGTATTGAAAAAGAGGATCTCTCTATATGGGTTAAACCATACCTGGTTTTTGGTGGATAGACACATACACATACATATGTGGGTGAGCAGTATAGACATATGCATACATGTATACGCACATAGAGACAGTGTTACAGAAAGCAGGCCCTCATTTTTTAACTAGGTATAGTTGCACAAGATCAATCCCAATACATAATATAATGAAGCTGTTACGAACCACCATACTGTCACTATAAATTCCACATTTTTTGGTGAAAGATTTTCATTTAGGGTAAATTTAAAAGTCAACGTCCTTTACTAGGACTGAAGGGTAAGGATTGGAGCAGCTTTCTGATATCATTTGTTATTTAGCTTTTACACAGAACATCTTCACTTACGGTCTTGCAATAAGCTCTGTAAAGAACTTTGAGTAATCCACTACTGAGCTAAATGTTAGACTCCAGCCTAATGCACTTCTCACGGGAATAAATTGATTCAGAAGCAAACATAGAACTATTACATGCTGTGCATTTGACTTACCTTTACAGTGCAGTAAAAAATGCTTATTCATGGGGCTAAACTTTGCACTGAAGTATGTGCACTGGTCTTTCAAGAAGTTACACGAGAGACACTGACGATTCAATGATCCCACTGTTGATACGCTGGGGAAAAAAATTGATCAGAAACATTTCCCATTGGAATAAAATACAATAAACCAAGAATTAACTCATCAGAGTGATAACATTTGTTTCAGTCCCTAAACTTGCCAAAATATCGCTGTCTTATTTTATGCCTGATGCAAACTGTTTTCAGATGACTCAGTGGACTACTGTTCTGTAAACTGGGCAACATGGACAGGATCCAAAACCTGCCCAAAGGAGAACTGGGGTTCCAATAACTAGGAGGGCTGTGGGGTAACAATGTTAGTAGGACATGATGTAAAGCCTCATTAACTTCAGACTTAAGCACTGAGGTTTGTGTAAGGAGGAGGTGCTTTGTCCACACCCTTTAAATTGCATGATTAAACCTATTAAATATTATTTTTATTTAGAAGATTTTTCACTACTTTTAAAAACACCGTCATATCATACGCTTGCATTTAGGCTCAGCTTTTCAGATGCTTATAAAGGACTAGTGAAGACATAAGTGGCAAAAACATTCTGTGTTAAAATCTTTGCCATTTTTAAAAGAATGTAAAATATCATCAGCATCTTCAATTATGAAAAACTGTGATTCTTTCCTTGTTACAGCTCAAGTGTACTAATTTTTACACATTATAAATGATTACCCAAGCCCCAAAGCAGCAATTAAGCTCACAGAATGTCATCATAGCACTTATGGCTTGGGATGAAGAAGCTGTTAACACGGCCCCATGTACTTCTTACCTATGTAGCTGTCTTCCTCTTGGGGATTCTTCAGTGCTTAAGAAATAACTGCGCCCAAATGATGAACAAAGTTAAACTCAGTTTGCTAAACTGTCATCAGACAGTGGTGTTTAGAGAAGTGAGAGACATCATAAATAACATTTGTTAAAATTAAAAATTCCCAAACATGCATGAAGATCAAATACATATAAATAAACCTAAGCTCCAAGATTAAACTTAAACCCAGTATACAAAGTAGTTATTTCCGAAGCTATAGGATTTCATATTAAATAGTGATGAACGCAGTATTTCATGGTTTCAGTCTAATTCCGGTAATGCCCAGGAGCTCCAGTAGAAATCAGGACCTCTTTCTCCATATTACAAATACAGAAGAGAAAGTTTCTCCTTCACTCCAAGAGTTTGCAATATAAATTTAAGGAGCAGAAAAAGGTCACAATGAAATGGTATCATAAATTACAATAGGCCTTATGATACCCGAAAGCGTTTTTGAGCTATAGAATTACTTTTTCCTTCTACCTAGAGACAGAAGCTAGCACCCTTGGCAACAGTTTATGGACAAGGTTGCCTGGCTGGAAAAAGGCTTAGTAGAGCTGCTGCAAGAATATCAAGACAAGTTCTTGGTGTGTCCCAGATGAGATCTCCACAAAGTTTCTCCTTGAGAGGCAGACGGAGAGTAAGGAAGTCCTCTCAAGTGGCTGAGACAACCCACATGCAGTCTGCCACCTCACTGCAGGCCAAGTGCATCCAGACCTCATTTTTTCATCTGAACCTTGGAGAAGCATCAAGAAATTCTCTACGGAGGTATTTTCAAAACCCATGGAAGGACTGGTCAGAAAGGGTTTTTCTCCAGTACCAGTGGAGATGACAGGCATTGTTGCAGCCTCAAAAAGGTTCTTGTTGAAATATCATTTATTTTTAAGAAAATCAGAATTAGACACATCTGTTTGGTTTTTTTGGGTTTTTTTGCCGTGTGCAGATATACATGAAGATTAACCAAGGTCCGCTGAAGTTATGTGGAGCCTTCAGATGTTTTGTGTCAGTTCTATACTGCTCTCAGAAATCACCAAGTATGTGCTACATTTCCTCCCCACTATAGCACTTAGATGGGCTTTGGAAAGATTTCTCTCTGACTGAGCTGGGTGAGAATCAGGGGTTTGCATAATCTCTCCATATAATTTGAATTCATGAGGTTAAATCAGATCCCCAAAGTCCAGAGACCTCATGTAGTAACCGAGCAAGCATGAAAACTGAAGATTTTGCATTTTATCAAGTACTAAAAATTTATTATGACTCCTTATCTGGAATCCAGGAAAGAAGTCACCAAAATGTTATTACTGCTGCATTGTGTGTTGATTTCTTTTATTTAACTGATGTCATGGTACACTCCTTTTCCCTCTGCATAAAAATGCATGCAGTAAAACACTGGCAGATAAATTGCCTTACAACTGCACTTTATGAACTCAGGAGTATAAAACTTCTGGTAATGCTCAAAAATGAAAGAAATACTGTTGTTTCATTTTAGATATGCTATTTCCAGTTAAATGGATTCCACTTTAATAACTCAGATATTTTCATAAACAGCCAAAGAGATTAGTGCTTACATCTTTTGAGTATTTTCATCATATGCCAGGATTTTGATAACTTCCCAGTTTCCTGATGTCAGGTGTCTCACACTGATTTGTTCACTTTTAGCCTAGAGAGAGATGGCAAACATTAACTTTCACCTTACTTGTTACATTTTTATTTGCCTAGCAGGATTGTCTGCACATGTCATTACCGATTACAGCTTTTTAAACTTTAATATTCAACATAACATCTTTAAATCACAAACTCCACATTTTGACAGGCCTGAACTCCAAGTATGCTTTCCCTCCCATATATAAACTTTTCAAAGTCATTAAAATCATCTCAGTTTTCATCACAATTTTTCTTTCGGTTGCACATATGCCAACAAACAATAGAAGTCCTATACTTCAAGCTAAGGATCTTGCCATTACACATATTTCGTTTCTTTTAGTGTTTCTTTTCCTTTGTAGTGGCATAGCAAGGGAATCTGAGTCAGACCTGTGTAACCAAAACTCTGCACCAGAGTGTGCTCACCAAGCTTTCACGTTTATCGCATGTTTGTACTGAACCCAGATTACTGTGAAGATGCTGTGCCAAGACAGGACATCAGCGCCAAGACAGGACATCAACACCACCCTCATCTGAGGAGGCAGGCAAACCTCTACGAGAAATGTGCTGCACAAACACGGACACAGAAGTTCACAGGATCTAAACCCAGGTAAAGCCCTGCCCCATCACGCACTCTGGAGAAGCCTCTCGTTAGCCAGGGTCTATAAGGAGAGTCTAAGAGTAGCTCCAAATGCTTACAAGTTGGGGAGCACTCCTTGCTCCCTCTCATAAATTGTTTCTATCCCAGTGCAAACCTAGGAAAATAACTGCTATAAGGGGAAATTCAAAACCTCTCTCAAAGAATGTGACAGCAGTTTTCTCTGGCATTGCACCAGAAACTGAATTAGGAAACATCAAGATGCACTGCATATACAAAACTCTTTGGCTGGAAGCTGCAGCAGACTCCTCATCAGACACACGTTAAAAACAATGAAACCTGAAGAGTGAGAACTCATCTGAGATGCCTTCATAGCGCAAAAGGTAAAATTGTGGCTTAGGCTGCTGAGATTAAAACTTCAACCCTCAGTATAATACAGCATGAACACACTTAAAGTGTTTTTTCTATGCTAAGGCTATGATGCTTGGCCTGGATATAAAAATTCTTAGTTTTGAAATTCAAGACAAACTTTATAAAGAAAAGAGGTGATACTTCACCTTGTATTTCAGCTTTAGTGGGCGAAACTGAGCAGCTGGAGTTACAAAGGAGGTCAGATGAAGGATCTAATGGTGCTTTCTGGCCTTGCACCTTGTGAATCTGGAGCACTAGTCCATACCTACTCACAGTTGCCTCAGTGGTTATGTGGCCCACAAAAAGTCATAAAAGCAAAAAGGTTTGTTGGGTTTTTTTTTTAATCCCTGTACTTTAAACTGCACCCTGTAAACTCCAAGATCTACGTCAACGGCAGCAGTAACTAGAAAGCAGAAAATGCTCAAGGACACTCATGAGACATGTCTGGAAATGGCAAGGCAGAACCAAGTCCCTTAGAAATTATCTCTTTTCTAACAGATCCATAAGGAAAGAATGATGTAGTAACTCTATGACAAATCTTGCAAGTACCAGCTGAAACCAGGACGTTGTCCTAGGTGCTGTACAGATGTCTACGATGATGGTTCCCTGGTTCAGGAAGGTTCTGATAGTCAGTGCTGTTTCCAGGAATGATTAAAATACAAATCAGTGATTTATTGTAAGTCACTATTTCTTCTCCAGTGAGAGAAGAGCTGCAACTATTGAAAGACATATTTAAATATTGAGATCACAGAATCTAACAAGAAACAGCAATAAAAAGGCCAGCCAAGCGTTAATAAACATGGTTATTTTTCAAGGTTACAGCCATAATACATAATTTATGAAGCTTGCAGGAAGTTCTTGCCTTGATCCATTAAAGTTACTTTATAATTCTTATTTTGTGGTTAGAAAAAAGAGACTTTCTAGAGTTGCAAAACCCCATGTAAGAAATTTCTAGATACATAACACATGATTCAATCCCATTTTGAGATCAGTTTCTTTTAAATATTTCATAAGTTACTAAAAGCATTTGAAAACAATAAAACACACATCTAGCCCTCTACATTCAGACAGTAAATAATGTATGATGGACAGTAACCTTTTAAACAGTAACCTCCCCTTGCAAGAAGACTTAATTAGATGCTTCTGCTAACCTGCTTTGATTATATCATTGACACATGCTTTTCTAAAGTACAGTCAAAGAAATGCAGCCCAAGACCATCACCAGTCAGTACTTGTGCTGAAGACTGATAAATAAGCCCCAGGGACTGAATGACTCTAAAGCAAGCCATTAAAATTTACTTCTTTGTCACTGTATGTTCATGTTGGTTCTGTATTTTAGCTTTCCTGCACTTGGAGGCTGATTTCTGTTAGTAAGCTGATATCTGTACAACAGAGAAATAACAAGAATCTGACCACCAAATTCCAACATTAACTGAGCTCCATCACGAAATCATCTGGGTACCGGAGACCTGCTGACTGCTTTAAATTCTGCAGGGCACCTGTTACGCCGCTGTGGCTCTCACCAGGTGTGACAAACATCTGATGTGACAAAAGACTCTATGTGCAACGGTTAATATAATTTTTATGCCTCCATGTTTGCTTTAGAAATAATGGACAATCAGATTAATGCACTGTGTAAAACACATCATATAAACACATTTCCTGTCCTTTATTGCTCTGTATCAGCCCCATTACCACGCAGAATGTTGCTTATTGATGAATAATGGTTGATACATGGGGTATCACATTTCCTCTTCTTCTCAGGAGCAGCTATATACTTAAAGCCAAATTTGTCACTGGTGATACCATTCAGACCTGTTTGTTCATGGTGATGGAAGTCAAAATAGAAGTATTTTGATTTTTGAAGCTGCGCAGTACCCAGGGCTCTAATTCTGCCTAAAAGGGATAAAATACTAAATTCTTAATCAAAAGCTTGACTTTCAACATTATTCTGGTAGGGTTAAAACATGTATTTTAAAGTAGGTATATATTTATCTTACTGAATAGGAGTGGGCTTAATCTTTTGCTTAAATATTTTCCTGAATCAGGAGCAAGTTTCCTGGGCTCTTTAGTAGTGAAAAATGTCAGAGCCTACAGGTTTAAGGCAAATTTGATTGTCTCTGTAACGCCCTCGGGAATGTTGCAAGTTAATTTTCAGATCTACATCATTAATTTTTTATGTATTTTGAAGATACTTATTCGTACTGGGAAAGGGACCAAAATAAGGCTTGATTGACTGAATGGTTTTGTTCTGGTGTGAATTTTTGTGTGGTTACTACATTAATACACCTTTACCAGATTGTTGTCTGAGTTACTGTTTTCTTTAGAAGACAGAATTTAACATGTCTGTGATCCCTTTTTCTTCTCTGATTCTTTCTTGATATATTTACTCTAGGGGACGAGTATCTTGTTCTCGCTTCTTCAGGTTAAATTTTCATTAAAGTTCTTTTGCTCTTTTTCTGTCTGCAGTATGCTGTGAACATATTTCAGACTTAATAATGTTCATATCAGAACACTGTCATAAAGGGAGATAATAGAGTTGCCTGGTGCCAAGTCTGCTATTTTGATGTTTTGGGTACCTTGATAATCCCTCCCATGTCGTACGGCTCTGCTAAAGTACCTGGATTAATGCTCTGCTGATTTAAATAGATGCCTTGGAGTGTTCCGTTCCAGGGCATAATTTCCTTTATTAGTTCATCACAACTTCATACTGGTGACCTTCAAAGTCATAGTGCAAATTTATCTTCTTTCAGATTCTTCTTTTGAAAAAGCAATGACCCTGGGAAATGGAAGCCACTGGAAAATGTTGCAAAGGGTAGTAAAGGAGTCCTAATTTTCACAAAATTTTAAGTTTAGGGTATTGCCTCCCTTTATTGTTGTGCGTAAGACCAGAATTCTGAAAATTCTAAATTGACATTAAAAAGTATACTTATGCATATGTAGCGTATATAAAGAGGGTGAAAGGAGCATTTCTGCAGGTCTCTTGAATTTCTGCAGCTATAAAACCTTATTATTGACAGAAGTGTTTAAAAAGAAAACATCTCTGTCTATAGAGGTACGAAGAAAGCATGAAATCTTCCAGAGAGAATACTTTGGAAGCACCTTTCATTTAAAGACCTTATGTGCCACTACAGCAGAGGTCTAAGAGAAGAGAGAGAGCTCCACCTACTCTGCAAGAAGTTATAAATATGTCTCTCTGCGCCAAGCAACAACCTGGACAGGACAAATGACCACAACACAAATGGTCAGGCTCTATTGAAGTGTAAGCCTTTGTTTGGGTCATGTGTCCTCAGTAAAAGTCCTAGGTGACCACGAGGATATTAAAAATAGCCTGAACCAAAACCTTACCTGAACAGTAAACATGGCTATGTGGTGAAATTCTCCCCGGCCTCCCTGCTTCACTGGGACAGTCATGAAGAACATACTGCCATCCTTGGAGAAAATCGGTTCTTCATTCTATAAATGTAAGATTGTGTTAGTTTGTCACACTTTCCATTAAACTTCTTAAAAAAAATCAGCTTAAGACTTTTTGTCTCCTTAGTTTTGGTATCTGCTGTGCTCATAAGACAATTGAAGAAAAATACTTAGATTTTAAATACATTCTGCTAACACTAGCAAAAATGTGGTGGCTAAAGGTAAATGTAGTTCATGCCAGTAGTTGCCATTGTGCAATCTTGTCCTGAAGCACGGGTTACAGCCCTTGCAAAACTCTCCCTCCCAAGAAAAGGTCTGGTAGTCTCATCTCTAATGCAGCAGGACTTTCCCGGATACATTCTTTTACAGACATACAATTAATGACAGAGATAAGTCCTAGGTTGTCCAGAGAGGTTGTAGATGCCCCCTCGCTGGAAGCGCTCAAGGCCAGGTTGGATGGGGCTTTGGGCAATCTGGTCTAGTGGAGGGTGTCCCTGCCCATGGCAGGGGGTTGGAACTAGATGGTCTTTGAGGTCCCTTCCAACCCAAATCATTCTAGGATTCTATGATTGTACTAGTGATAAGAAGAACAAATTTTTCCATGGCCTGGACTCAGCAAAACATTACCAAGCACACACTTAACACTCACTGATTTTCATAAAAGTTGTACGGAAAAAATAAGCACATTGAAGTAATATTCTGAATCATGGTCTCACCATAAATTGTAGCCTGATATGATACCATCTCTTCATGTCTAACTTTACACAGAAATATTAAAGGAAAATGGCTCACTATAAAAGCATAGATTTTTAAAAATTATTTCTCATTTGCACATTGCAAAACGAAACCTGAAATGTATTTTAAATAGAATGTGTTTCATCCATTTATTGGATAGCTCTTCTGAAGCTATGAAAATGGAATCATTTGCTCACATATTAGTTCAACATATTGTTCTGGGTATGGATTTAGAAATATTATTCTTATGTATTCCAATTATAGCCTGTATGACCTCTAATCTTTGAACTCATTTGGGTTTAATTTGGTGATGATATTTTTTCATCAGAAAAAAATCAGCACAGTATATAGGACATGCTTGGAATGGGATTCGTCTGATCTACCTTTAACCATCCAAGAGTTAGGTAGTTAATGAGCTGGTCATCTAAGTGCTTACTTAACTGAATGCAGAGATTGGAAACTGAAGGGAATGTTGCATCTGAAGCCCAGAGAGGTGCCTCAGTTCGAAGGGCTGAATTGCTCACTGGAAGTGCACTTCTCTTTCCACCACCGGCATGGTTAGCTAGATAGTGAAATGTCCTCTGTGATGCTAAGTGACAGGATTCCCACTACCAGAGAAACAAGCTGCCATCTGAACATTTACACAGACACTGCTCTTGTCCTCAGCTGTTAAATTAATTTAGGATCCTAAAAAGTATTTGATTTTAAAAGGAATGGATTGTAATAGCTTATAAAATAACATATAATTAAATAAAAATGACAATGAAGTAATTACTCATTACACACCCAGAAATAGCATTTATACCCTACCTGTTTAGGGAGCCACAGGTCTGACTGCATTTCATATTTCTAAAAAAGAAAAAAAAATGGTTTTATGGAATAGCTATAGATCAAAAATATTTACCACGTTCAGCAAAAGGTCCCTAGCTATTTCATGGGGGGGGTTTTCTACTGTGTTACAATCTTCACATTTCTTCATTGGCACTTACATTGAAACAAATGATAATTTAATTATAAAGTCAGCTGCTTCATTCAGAGTTTTTGGTAGAACACCACAGGGGACCTAAGAATGTCTTTTTCAGTCTTTTCTGATTAGCTATCAAGAAGCTTTACACAGGCAGTTCTATTTGTTTTTTACCTCTAGGCACCATCTGACAACTGGATATTTTAGGTCCTTCATCAACACTGGGCAAACAGCCAGCATCAAGCTCAAAGTGTGAGACCTTTTCAAATCACAATCCCTTGCTTTAATGGGATGTAGTGTGGCATTAGTGAAGAGAAAAAAAAAAAAAAAAAGCAAATGATTGTCTTTTATTGGTCACGCTTAAATTTCACATCATGCCATCTAAAAAAAACCCATTCAAATACCACACACACATTGCTGTAAAAAAATATAGAATATACATCTACTGTTGTAAATTGTCACAGTCACACTGAAGTAATGAAAATTTATTAGCTATAGAAGCATCTGTATATACATGGCCCGAAAAATGAAAAACCTGTAGCTACTACAGCAGCTTGTTTTATACAGTACTTTTTGGAACTGAGAACATGTGCAAAATGCTAATTTTTTATTTTTTTTTTTTTAAAAAGGTTTACAGTTAAAATCAATTGGTGTGATACAATGTTAAATCCTCACAATATGGCCTTTCCTCATCTGTTACTGACTTTTAAGAGCATCACCTTATCCCAGCAGATGCAGTGCAGGAACTGCCCAGGGTTGCAAGCATGAGCCCGGTCTGAGCTGTGCTCACTACGGTGACACTGCATCCCTATCCTTCACCCACCTACAAGGTTCTTCGCTGCACTTTATTTCTTCTAGAGCAGGACTTCTCAATCTCTCTTATATTATGTCCTGGATTACAGCTCCCTGGATACCTACCTCAGACAAGTACAATTGACCTTGGAGCAGATAAGGGTTTCCTTTCAGAAGTGACTGCTCACAGCGGTTCATGACTAACTTTCTTAATAAAAGGGGACAAGGCTTGCAGGAACCAGGTAAAAAGCAACCCAATCAACAAATCTCCATGTTCACAATCTTAATCCATAGTTTGGGGATTTATACTCAATTTCTAAGTCAGGAAAAGCAACCTGCACTATGTAGCAAAAGAAGCAGACAAGCTGGGAAATATTCCCTAACACTTTAACAGGATCGACTTCAGTAGCAGACACTGATGGGAGCCTTTTGACTTAGAGGCTAAACTCGGACCTACATCCATCACTCGGAACCATTTACGCTGCCAAGTTATGCTCTCTACTTTGGAGCACCTGTTGGTACTGACATTAACATGTATGGAAAATATTTGCACTTTTAGCTGGTTCTGGGAAGAGACCATGACTCAGAATGGGAAAGTGGCCAACTGCAGTCGAGATGCAAGACTGACTGTGAAAATGGAGAGATGTAATGCAGGAGTGTCAGAAGTCAAAGCTTGGGTCAAGGGATGAGATGTGGCTGGATTCAAAAAGAAAAATGTATTTCAGCTTGGCTTACACTCAAACTAAAATATCCCTGTTGTCTTTTAATTCTATTTTTTTTCTAAAGTTATTTAATTCTGCTATTGAATTTGCAGAAATTATCAGAATTTTACACCTTTTCCTTAAACATATGTAAGCTGTGAAAGACAGAAAGATCTGAAATGAAAGTCTGTAAGGAGAGAGAGGAGGCACCAGGCAGCTGAAAATATCTGACAGAAGACAAGCTTGTCACTGCACTAGCTATACTCAAAGTACATGATGTTCAGCAACTGCAGTTCCCACTGAAGTTAATGAATGAACAAAGCTTAGTATTTCTGAAAATGTCACTCAAAGTTGCTAATTGCATTAAATCATTTCACCAGATTTGGAATTTTCTCACATCTATTTCCTCTCTGTTGACTAATTACATTCAGCTTGCAACTACTGCATCTGCAAACTGATTTCTGAAAATCTTTTTCTGCATATGAAAACAAAATGCAGGAAGAAACCTTGAAAGAGAGCCTAGGAAAAAAATCTGACTTACCTTGGTGCAAGCCCCAGTTGTGGTTTCACAAACCGTAAGGATGGAGATATTCTGAGGTCTGTTTAACCATCTCACCACAGCCTTGGTGTTGCTTGTCCATTTCACCATGGTGATGTAATAATCCCTAAGCAAACATTTGAAAACACAATGTTCAGATCATTCCCATTTCAGATTAGACTTTTTTAAAAAGATATATATACAGCTTATCAAATGCTGGATTTGTACTGAATGACACCGTCAGTACCGAGGGATGGAGAAAATAACCCCAAATGCCAAATATTGGGCATTGTGTTCCTACAAGTGGGAAGGCTCAGTCCTAGTGCGCTGCTCCCCTGGGAAATCTGTACTCCGTTAGCACCTCCTTCTCAGCCACTTGTGATATATAAACTTTAGCAACTGTGAAACATATAATTGTGAAACACATACTTGTGAAACACATGTTTGCGAATACACATGAACCATGTACTTGTTGGCCAGCTTAAAAGTGAACTCTGAATTCCAACAGAAGGCAGTATTTTCCTATACCAAATACCTTCAGAAAACACATTTTTGCAAAAGAATCCAGCCCTACTGCCAAACCAAAAAAAGAGGTCTAGCATGCAGGCAAGACGACTTTAAAATGTCACTTGTTATAAAATAATAACTTTTTATAAAATAAAATAATGGGACTTCTGCATAAAAGGGAAGTCACGCTCAGTATCCGTGCGTGTCAGCTTCCGTTTTAACAAATAGCTCGTAGCATTGGACAAATCGTCTGGCCCTCAATGACTCTGGTGGTGCAAGGGAGGCTTCCTAGGCACAGACTCATGGTATGGAGTATCTGTCTCCCTCCTCCCAAAATCCCTGTCAGACTTCCCAGGCTGTCAGAGTGGGGATGTTACAGAGGAGACCTGTTGCAGCTTGTCATCCCAGCCAGGCTATTCGCTTCTCTACTCGTGGCAGCTGGCAGCTCTCACAGTCCAGCTGAGTTATGTGCAACAGTGGAGAGAACTTGTCTGGAAACTCAGCCCCCCTTTAAAACAAGGGTCTTAGCTTGCATATAATTAGGCTTTTAATCTAATACTGATGGAGATCTCATTACTCTTTGACAACACATATTTAATTATACATTCAAAAGACTTCTCACTAGATCAAAGAGACAAAGCAGCATCGACAGCAAAGTTGTGCACAACTCTGATGCTGCACACAGGAGATGCAGGAGACAGCAATTCACTGCAGCTTCACCCAGCCCTGGTCTGCTGCTATATTTAACAAACACAGCTGAACAATCCAATATGCCCAACTTTCTTTTGCCTTTTATGTTTGATTTTTAGTAAGACAAATATTTTCACACGTAGATACCAGAATGATGACTAGAAATGGTGACTTCAGGTATATTCTGAGTCTAATACTTACATTTTTTGGTTTTAAAAGTTTTTAGCTTATTGAGGAACAAAATATATACACCAAAAGTAACACAAGATCTATAACGAGACCAAGTGACACAGCCAATAAAGCAATAACCCAACAAGCAAACCAAAGAGTGCAACACCAAACCTCAGGTAACTGATTCCCCATAGCAGAACTCAAGAAACAAGAGCTGAAAACTTCCTCTGCAGTCATACCTTCATCAGGCCATCCAAACCCATTTCAGCTGTGCTTGTGCCAGAAGATAGCCAAAAGGAAATGTTCAAAACATGTATATAAAGACTGGCTCCCTCTACCGAGACTTAAAGACACCAATGTAAAACAGCATCCACTGACAACAAAGCCCAAATTATCCCAGAAGCAAATTCTACAAAATAGAGCCTGAGCTGTTCTATTTGAAAAAGTCTTCAGTGAGGACGGAAACAGAATCTGACTGATATAGTAATTAAAAGTCCAAATCAAACCATAAGATCATCTTCAATCACTGACATAAACTCCTTGATCACTGAAGTGAAAGCAAAAGACAATTTAAAAATTCCTTTTTTTTTTTCCCCGTCAACTATGCACTAAAGTGTATTCACTACATTATGACTTGTTTATCAGGACTGTAGTGCAGTGTGTATATATACATAAGTAGAAAAACATACCCTTCTGAAATGAAACACTGTCTCCAGGTCACGTTCCTTTGTATTTCACAGTTTTGCAGTTCATCTGTTGTTTCACATACACAGAGTAGTAGTGTTGTCACAGGTCAACAGATATGACCAAGTCGAAGTTTGTAAAAGAAAATCTTATGTTTTATTAGATTGGCTGATACAGTTGAATAAAAACAGAGAAGCTTGCAGGGCAAAACTTGTTTCAGTTCTGACGAAGCTGCTATCAGTTTGTGTCTCCAAACTTATCAGGCTTTTTTTGCAACTCATCTATTGTTCTAGCAATGAAAATAAGCACACTCTCTAACCCAAATACACAAATGTACTGGGATTGCTAGACCCTCTGCATCTGTAAATACATTAAGTTTCCTTACAACAGCACTTTAAAGAGGAAAGTCTATGATTGCTTTCTGGACAAAGGACTGAAGTAAGATATTAAATAAAAATTTACACTCATTTTAGACCCTCAACTTGATACCCATTTAATTAGATGCTCTACAGCACTTTGCATGTTCAGAGTACAACTTTCATCCTTGTTCAGGAACATTTCTTAAATCAGACTGCGGATTAATTTACTCTGTGTCCTAAGAGTAACAAACACAACTACCAATCGGCTGTGCGATGTCAGTTTAAACTCACTGTATCACACAGGAGCTGCGTGGCAGAGACAGAATCCAGTTTTAGCATTCAATTGGCCTAATAAGAGTACACTTCCCTCTCTTGCTGTGGCTTGCTTTATTCAAGCTGTGTCTCCTCACCCCACTCCTAACTTTCTTTTTCCTACACTTTGTGTAGCTAATTCCAAGGTTTTCCTTATCGATCCCTTTTCTCACCGCAGGGCCACTATAAGATGATCATGGGAACCATAAAACCCATTTGTTCATAGCCATCTCCTCTCTCAGAGTTCCCACTGAAATCCCTGATTGTCAAGAAAACCTCATTCAACCCCTGCCCAAAGACCTGCCTTTCTGGGTTTTTTAGCCAGTCCCCATCTTATGGTCTAATCAGGTTTTCACCTCAGACTTCTTAGAGTCTCTTCCCTCTCACCTGCCCTAGGATTTTTTCCTCTGTGAATTCCAAAGAGAGAGCTTTTCTCTTTAATCTGAATAGAGGCAGACAGAAAACCCTGAAAATGCAGTCTCCTTCCACAGCATCCCACGATCAGTCCATACTGAAGGAGCTTGTACATGACTCACTTTATTCTAAGTTGGATTGAACCAGGCAATGCATAAAAACAAGAGCTTCAAGCTCCTTGACCAGAGAGCGAGCTACTTCTGATTCCACATTCGGTATTTAAATCTGTGGCTTGGCTTCAGATTGGTCTAAATTCTACAAGGTACCCAGTGTAAAGGTGGTACAGCTTTCCCTTAGGCCTGTGAACCAGGAACATGACACGTATACAGTCAGCTCAACAGTAGGAACTGGAACATCTCACGTGTTCCAAGGAGGTGCTGCACACTGAGAAAGGTCAGGTCTTGGGGCCCAAGTGGGATGGAGGATAATCAGTGAGAAAAAAATAATTCCAACTGTAGTTGTTAAGAAACCAAATGTCTTTCCTGAGCATATGGCAATTAACTTTTTTCCAAAGACTTGTAACTTGATGAAATCTGGATTCATTTTTCACTGCTGATAAAAAACATATTAAATATCAAAGGTGTTTATCATCCTTTGCCAAGCTGGAAGATCCAATTTTTTTTCTAATCTTTCTTTCTTATAGAATGTTTTCCTTTATTTTGATTATCTCAACTGATACACAATTCTAGGGAGGTCGTTTAACAGTTTGCTAATCCATTTATCATCGCTCAAGAATGTCCAGCACATCTTGTTTCACTTGTAAGTTTTGGGATGTCTGTGACTAGAAAAATATATGTGTGTATCTTGCTGGCTGCTATTGTAAGCACTTAGCAAAGTCAACAGAGACAATAAGCTGAACAAAGGAAAGGGATTTGCACTGCATTACACTGGAAGTGTGGTAACGATCATAATTAAATTTGAATACTAGCTACTTAGACTTGAAATAGATTAACATCACAGAAAAACAACCCACAGTATTAAACTTAAAAATAAGAAACTGTTCAAGAAAAAGACTCAAACTTTGCAGCTTCATATCATTCACTCTAATGAAGAAATCTGCCCTGACTTTAAGCCAATGATCTGATTATGAAAGAAATCTGCTCATAAGAATAGCTGGAAGACATTTAATATTTATGGCAATGGAAAAAAGAACCTTAGTTTTGTAGATGGTTTTAATAGATTTGGATTTGGCTGCTAAAGAAAGTCAATCTATGCTCTACCAGTTTGCTGGCAGGTTGTTATCTAAGAAGGTAAACAACAGAAACTTGCCCCATGCACAATGCTCTACAATATTTACTATATTCTTAAATTATTTATATTGTTGTGTATTGAAAAGCATGTAAGAATATACAGATACTAATAAGAAATGTCATTCTCAGAAACGCCCATGGAGAACACCACCAACTGAGACGTGACCTGCAAGGTAGCTAAGATAACTGGACATGACCACCTTGGTAGCCCACCGATGGACTCTCATCATCTCCCTTGAATCCCCAAAATTGGTGTGGATGATGCTCTGCCTTTACGGGTGATGGACAGAGCAAGCTCGCTCAGCCTGCTGGCCACACTCCTCCTAGAGCGGTCCAGGCTTGGTGACACTAAGCGTGCACTGCTGTCTCCCATTCAGCCCCAAGCACAAACCCCTCGGCAGGACGGCTGGGCAGGCAGCCGGGTCCCAGCCCCTGCTTGTCCACATGCAGAACTTGCATTTCTTCCCACAGAACAGGAAGGGAATAATCAAGAAATACCTTGGCATTGTGTGGGAAAGCTTCAACAAAGTCCGTGAAGATATTTTTAGGCTTTGGCTGAATAGATCATGGCCACTTGCTATAAGAGATGATACTGAATTAATCCTTTACATTAACCTTGTGAGATCGGTATTGTTATTGCCAAGTTACAGAAGAGGGGAGGGGCAGAAGTCTAAAAGAAGTGACTAGATGTAGCATAGCTAAGAAAAGCTGTAAGTAAACCCCAGTTTTCTTAATACCAAATTGCACACCCTTCCCCCCAGTCTTTCCCATTTCCAGTTGGAATCAAATAAGCTTTCTATTCCAAAGCAAGGCTGAGATAAACTGGCTGCCAGAAGTACAAACCCAACCTTTTCTAGATTCGAGAGGTGATTTCAAACTAGAAGTACAGAAATATCCAAATGATTTTGTTGATTTGGAAATGCATGGATAATGAAAACATTGATGAGGCTTGTAAGAGCATTATTTGAAATTATGCAAATTCAATTTCTTAAGTGTTTTCAGTTCCATTACAAAAAACTTAATTACAATCAATAAAAATTATTTAAATTTGTCATAGAAAGTCAGAAGGGTCTGACTGAACATTTCAGTCTCTTTAAAAGCAGGTATATGTGAAATGAGAATGTGCACAACTAACATTTTTTCAGGCATTTAAATGCTATTGGAAAAAAGTAAGAAAAAGGACTGATTTAATTTCTTATAGTGCATTTTAAGGCTACCGAGTCAGCAGCGGCTGGGAACAGCACAGAGCTGAGGCAGTTTGCTCACTGTGGCTGCGAATGGGGAAAGCAAGGAGTGGGGGACCCCCACGCTGAGACTTGCGAGAGCTAATACACAGTTCTAGCAGAAAAATCTTTTCATCACATACAGAAGCACAGCTCTAGAAACTCAACTGCAACTTCTTTCATGTGCTATTTCACTTTTTCTCCATCTTAAATCTCAGTGATTTCCACTTTGGAAAAGCAATTAAATTTTTCTGCCTGACAGGTATAAATTCAAGCATGGGTTTTGCAAAATCAGCTTACATAATTTGATCATATCAATATCTTATATCTAAATATCACTGGTTACAAGGATTCTTCAGGCATCCTAAGTCACAGTGGTTTGAACTGACTGCTTACACACCGTATCGCTTGTCCAAGATCTGCAGTGGGAGGCGAGTATTACCTTTTCAACTGGAGCTTCGGGAGCTAGCAGTGTATGAATGCACATGTCTTTCATCTTACATATATATTGGCTTTCTAGGACTAATGAGAAAAAACCCCTGCAGTACAAAATCATATTTGCCACTGAAGAAAACATAATGTAATTGTACACGTGGAATAGAAACCCCACGGGGGAAACAGTAATTGCACAGAATACAGCCACATGTTTAAAGAAAGATTGTCAGCCTTTTTCTGGCATTAACAATGCACAGTAGATGGTAAATTTTTCCACAGAATAAAACTTTGAGGAGTAAATTTACAAATGTTATTGCTATCTTTATATCTGAATAACCTGAACAAAAGTTGGGAAGTATTACCTAGCACCTTTACAGAATCACTGCAAGCAGTAAATGAAGGCAGAACATTGAATTTACTCAACCTTACATCAAGTTCCCAGATGCCCTAAAAATCAGAAAACAGTTTTCGGTCTTTAGAGGTCCTGCACTGCACACAATTTGGGGAGAGTTGAGAATCTGCATCTTACTTTTTATGGTTATAAATAACAGAAACCTTGTTCCCTACCCTTTTATGTAGTTTCTCTGTATAGGAATGAATCTCTCCCGTAACAGCAGTTGGTTATGACTTGTACAATATGTATTTCCAAAATGTTTCTGCCCTGAAAGATCCATAAAACTATATAAAGCTCATTCTTCATACCTGTATACATATTGATACATGGATATATATGGATTGATGACCAGTGTGATGACTGACTGCTACTCAAATCCACAGTCAGAATACAAGATTTACAGTATACTTGGCTGACAACTATATATTTTTTTTCTGAATTTTATAGCATGGACATTATACCTTAATAACTAAAATTAAGATGACACTAACTTTTTTCCAGGTTTAAATAGTTTTACTCTGTCTTCTCATACAGCAGCAAAACAGATTTTTAAACATGAATATTATTTCAATTAAACAGCAACAATATCTTTATCAAGGACTCAAAAATCTGGCAAAGATGCCCCTTAAGGCTCACAAAAGAAATTCTGCAAATTGAGCTACTGCTAGCCTTCAGCTTCAAGATGTAAAAAAGGTTTTAAGATACCAATATTCATTCATTTGATTCTACTTTTATTTTCAATCTGCTGGTGAGGAAGAACATATCTGAAAAATCTAGAGTGAAACCGTAACATCTGAACAACATTTTCAAGATATTTTTTTTCTTGAGGATTTACACACTGCTTTCTCATTTCACTTCTTCGTGCCTTCTGACATTTAAGGGACAATTTTAATGCTGTTTAAGAGAATTAAGATGCTAATCTTGATAGCAAGGAATCTCTTTCAGATCTTACACTATCACTTAAATTAATGAAGGGTTAACAAGCAGCAGGAGATTTTATTATGTTTTTCAGTAGTAGCCCATCAACAGAAAGAAAATACTTCAAAAAGCACAACTCATTCAAAATCATTCCTTTCACTAACACAATCAGTAAGCATTCCAGCTGACATTAATAATTGCGAGGCATAATTCACTATTAAATTATTCCTGCACTAAGTTAGGGGACCTCAGTTTGTGCAGAAGAGAGCTATGCCAGCTAAAAATTGGTTGCAATGGCTGTGAATCAGTGCCCACTGTTAACATCCAGATTGTTTTGGGAACAGTTACCATTAAATCTTTTGGGTTTTGTAGGACCTGCAAAAACAACAACTATATACAGAGGTGGGGTTTTATTTAGCTAGAGGTAGCTTTATGGTTACAGATCCTTTTCAGGTATTTCTCCATCTGACAACGCCCTGAGTGAAGAGAAGAAGTGGCGCTTCCCTGGCCCTTAGACTGCAGCCAGGTCTGGACTGTGGTAACTCTTTTATCGTTACTATTACCTACATTATATAATAATTTAGGGTTAGAAGATCATTAGCATGTGCACTGAAACCACAACGGGAATTTGATCAAGATGACTGCAGTTCTACAAACTGGAATACGCATAAGGGAAAAGATGAAAATTTTCTTGCCCTTAAACAAAAGTTTCGAGGCATCTCAAAGTGAGGACAGGTAATCGGGAGCTCAGCTTAAGGCAGCAACTTTAGGAGGAGAGTCACTGGTTGCAGCCAGACCTCATTTCTTCAGCCTCAAAGTCAAAGGGACTGTTAAATTAGCTCAGCGGTTCTGAAGCAGATTCTCCTGAAAAACCCAGAACAGCCCTTCTTAGTCTGTGTGATCTGGCGGCATCTCATCTCATCTCATCTCACCTTCTGTCACCATACTGCATCTGTCAGCTCTGATGAGAAATGAAACTTTCCGTAATCTACTGGATTTGAAAAGTTCAGAACATTCCTCTCTCAATGAACACCTTGATTACACGTTCTGTGCATTTGTAAGCCACTTCTACGTTCTGCAATCTCATTTCAGAAACTGAAAGCAACAAGTTGGCACACAGCAAGGAAAGGCTGGCAGCAAATGCCACAAGAACCTCAGAACCAGGGCAAACGTTCAGCCCCTTTGACCATATCTTAGGATTCTTAATTTCATATATTTCAAGTAAATTGGAGCTTCTCAGGACATCAGATGTGAGCAATTCCCAGATCACTGTGATTTTTAAGAGGAGCATCAATCCAATACAGCTGTATTTTATTTTATCATCATTATGTTCAGCCGTGGGGACGGAGATCAAGTGCATTCCAGTCAAAGATAAGTGTTGTGCTGATGTAAAAAGGCAACGATTAGCCTGAGAGACAGTCAGGTTAAACTAAACATGAGTTTCAAAACAAAGAAATTACATACCTTGATTTAAAGCTGTCAGGTGGCATCAGTTCCAGTGTATGTGCTGGTCCATACAGATCAACTACAAACAGCTTTATTGTTGGGTTTGTTTGACCTGCCTTTGAAGAAAAAGAAAATAGGAGCTTTAGAGGGACTGAATCAGTGATAGCTAAATGGAATAACTCATTAACATACTGCAGTATCTTTACAATTATGAGACATTATTAAAAATTAAAAATCTTAAATTTAAAACAATAATTTTCCAGCTATATGAATGACATAGTTAAAAATACGAAGTATTAATAGAGTAATCCTCTCACTGCTTCATCAGTGGCAGACCTTTGTGTGCAGAGCAAGCGACCAAGTGGTTTGGCCCAGTTCAGCAAAGTCAGATGCAAAACCATGGCCAGTTCCTAAGAGAACAACTCAACCCAGCCTCCAGCAAAGTCTTTTCCAGACACTATTGTTCCTTCTTCCAAAAAGCCGTCCTATATCTGGGATAACGTTCCTCCTCTTCCTCCTCTTTCTTTACCATTTTCCCTCTGTCTTCCTTCCCTGGCTTGCTGAGTTGGACATCTATTTTTGGCCCTGTTCAGGACCCAGCTGCTTTGGCAGGCAAGCTCTAAGGGAAACAAAATGCTTCTTATTGCTAAAGGGGAATAAAATGGCAGTTCGATATATATCTCCTGGGAAGACTCTGATAAATCCTGAGGATCTACAGAGAGGTGGCACTCATCGTTCTCCCAGTAACATGGCTCGTTACTAAGAGATGTTCCTGAGATGAAAAGAAAGGACTGGAGATAGGAAGCAAGGCTCTGCAGGGCTGCAAGGAGATGCTACTGGTCCCGCATCCCTCTCCTAGCCATATCATGTTCAAGCTTCTTTTTCCTGTAAGTCACAAGGGTCACACCCCACTACATAGCATCCTTGGGGTATGGGCGGTGAAAACTGTGTCTCTCAATGGGGTTGACTCCTGTTTAATATTGGATGCACAAGGTAAAACCACTGATGCTACAGATTTTATCATAATAAACTACAAAGTTGTATATCTGGCGCTTCACAGGGGTATTTAGAAATGCAAAATAGCTTGCTGAAATATACCTACAAATTCAATTTAGAAATTGGACTTATCTCAAAATATAAATAGTCTGAATGTGTATCCACTCATTTCTGAGCGATGCAGGGGACAAGAAAACGGTATTTGTGTATTTTTACTAGTGCTAAAAAAAATTTTTTAAATGGATTTAATTAGACTCCTAGAATTTATTTTTTTTTCATAAAAACTTTTGCATTTGCCTCAAAACAAATGTGATCTTTCAAAGGCATCCTTTGCATGAACACAGCTTACACAAATGCAAAACTGTGGAAGAAAACCACTGAAAGATGAAGTCTTTAGGACACAACTGCAGCATCCTTATATCCTTTGAACCCTACATTGACTGCATAGTGGTATCTATGGATTCTCACTAGGAGGGCTGCCATGAGTAATTACTATCCAGCAGGACTATGAGCTGTAGAGAGACACTCTAAAGCACGCTGTCACAGCAGGCATGGCCAGATCCGTGCCAGTCCCTCAACGTGAAGCGCAGAAGCACAGCACTACCCCAGCTCTGCCATCACCAGCCCTGCTCCGGACACGGCAGAGGGGTCTGTGGGTTTCATGTTATTTTTTAATCATAGATATAATTTTCTCTGATGGTTTCATTCTATAACAAAGACCAAACCTTTTTCTTTTTTTCATCTCTGTTGCTATACCACAAGCTTCATTACCAATTAATGATGTTTAACGGGTAGCTAAATTGGCATTAAATGGAGACATTAAATAAAGATAATGTTTTTTCATTAATGAGATAACTGAAGTAGTATTGTGTATCACTTTTATGCTGAATTGCTAATGAAATGGAATTACTCATTTCTTGTTTACAAAGCTGACTTTAAAAAATACTTTTTTCTTTGCTCTGTCACTCAAAGCCTTTTGCCAATGCAAGCATGAAAACTACCTCTTAAAATACTGTTACTTCATTACATTAGAATATTATGTCATAGCACAAGTACATTATATTTATATCATGCACATTATTGTTTCATAGTACCTGATACAGCCTGTGTGCACCTATCAAGAATAAAGGGTCATCACCAAAAAAACAGTAGTAATATTTTCTAAAGCCCTCAATGAACTTCCCTTGAAACGTCAGAGGAGTACCACATACAAGGACCTACATCAGAAAGGAACTCAGACACTTTGAAATTGCATGCAAGGGATGGATAAACTGGTAAGTTGGAAGATAATACCAGTGCTGGAGCTCTGCACAAAAACGATGGCTAGGGAGGCACCTGATCAGGAAATCCCCAGAAAATGAGGAGCGATTTCAGACATTATCCATGTCTGGGCTGTTCTTTCACTTTACAACATGAATCTAAAATCCTTTCTGTAAGTCTTCCAAAACTCAGTCATAGCTCTTTTTTTTTTTTTTTTTTCCCCTCATTTTGACGCCCAGGAAAAGATTTTACTGTGGCTTATCTTATTCAGGGCCAGTCTGTAACATTTATTAATAAAACAGTATAATTTCCTGAGATCTATAAAACTGCAATGGAACATGCCCTGCACTCTGCACACAGCATGTATGATTCCAGTGCAGTTGTGACAGTATATTCTCTGCAGTCCTTCTAACACATTACCCTTCTCTTAGAATTGGTGGATTGCTTTTACCAAGCCATTTATCAATGATGAAATTACTACAAGTTAGTTTGTCTGCTGCTCCCTCACCCTATAGTTTCTTTGCAGCAAAAGGTGTTACAGTCTACTGAAAAAAATTGTGATTAATATTTCCTGAAAAGCAACATGAACCAAATCAGCCTCTGTTACCGTCTAGAAACACTCCTTCCGTATAGTTGAACACGATCACTGAACAAGGAAGAGGAGGTGGGGGCTGCACTCACACTCGTCTTACCTTAGGGTATGGATACTGCTTTCCTTTTGGATATAGACCTCCAGTAAATCGGGGAATAACCATGTTCGGTACCAGAGAGTCATTTATGGTCAGGAACGCCAGTCTTTCACCGTCTGGAGACCACCAGTGGGCAACATGAGAATGAAGAAGTTCCTCTGCAAAACCAGATTTCCTTAGGGTCCATAAAAATAACTATCACGTAGTTTCCAGCTCAGTCAGTTGGCACTGATTTGTTCCTTCTGTGCCTACTTGAAATGCATCTATTGTAATTTCAGTAATTTCACATTATCCTGGGCTGAATGTTTGGATAACAAGGCATATCGAAAGACCAAACTTTAACCATTTTCCTCAAATGAATACTTTCATTGATGTCAATAAATCACCTAAACGTGAAAGATGATTGTACCTACAATATGTTTAGATCTATTGCATTCCATTAGATGTGTTTAATTAATTTTTAAATGATTTGGAGCATTTTAATAGACAGGTTTTTTAGGATTGTCAATCTTTTCTTTTTCTTTTAACATAAAACTTTAGTATATCTCACTTCTCTGAGCGGTAGCACCTGGTAACATGCAGATCCTCCCACAGTCATATTTATGTAATCATTTTTTGCAATATTTTGACTTTCCTGTCTCAGTGTAATGGTCAGCTTTAATTCTTAGAAAGCTGAGGGGTTTTGCAATGTAACTTTTTGAAAATCCAAACAAAATGTTTTATTTTTATCCAAATTTTATTTGATTTGCAATTGAAAGTAATTCTCAAAAATGTCATGCAATGTTTTCTTGCATTTACTGTCATTGTATTTCACATTTCAAAAGAAACAAAATAGAAACAACCACAGAAGCAGCACCCAAACTCCTGGAATCCCAGTAAAGCAGCTCCTGACCAATTCCAAATTCACCCTGTACGGGTCTTCTTTCCTCCACTTGTAAAAAGACTTAGATTTTTTCATTGTATTTGATATGTTGACTTGTTTGGTGAGCATTTTGTATTTGAATTTGGCTGGAAAACTAATTGAGAACAGTATATTAGCGGGAACAAAGGCCTGGCTGCATACCTAATTTAAGAGCCTACCTACAAAACTACTCACATTGTCAATGGAGGCCCTCCGAGATGCTAATCAGATTCTGAAAGTTTTGAAGCAGTTTAATGGGTTGAATTATCTAAGGTTAGGTGCAATGAAGCTGGGACCTATATCCAAAGTCATATATTCTGGGTCATGCTTCTCGTCCTGGGTGGATAACTAAAACCTTTTACCCAGGAGAACAGTACAGAATGAACAGTGAATATCAGACAGTAAAAATCACAATTGTGTTTGGTTTAAAATGCATTCAGACAAGGTTATTCACACAACGAAAAGCTATTCCCAAATGCTTTGTAAGGTAAAATGCTAATAACAAACTCACGTAAATGATTAAAAAAACCACTAATGAGGTCAAAAGGAGGAATAGTTCTCAATTCAACTGAAAACCTCTTAACTTCATCTGGACAATATTCAGCCTTCTCAGCTTCTGATGCTACTAAAAGCAGAGGATTGCTCTAAGTTAAACAAGGGTTAATGGGAAAGATGCTGTATATTCGTTCATGCCAACAGACACGGACTGTGGTGCTCCAACGTGTACAGACAGAATTCCCTTTTACCCTGACTTTAGTGATGTATATTGTGAGGAAGAGCCCACTGTCTGTCTGCTTCCCTGGAAACCAAAAGAGTTCTCTGTAAGTCAGGAAATGCAACAGCTATTTGGGCCAGGGATTAAAAAACTTGGAAAAAAAATATAGGCAAAATCACTTAAGGAAGGCTTTAGGACACGCATCAGGAGGAAGGTTTTGGGATGCTTATCACCTCCCACACCATTTCAGAAGCTTTCTAGTCCCAGATTAGACACCTTTTGCTTTTTCTTCTCTAGACAAAGGTATGTGTATAGCTGTAGAGACAGGGAATAAGAACAAACTGGGGTGGTAACTGATGTGGAGGTATAAGATATTTGGATGAATATGCCTGGCTTCCTTTTCAAGAAAGGACAAGCAAGCTCGTGGCCTTTTTGAAATTCAGCCAGGTATGATACTTATGTATCCGTGTGTTCACTGGCAAAAATCACACACAGTATATATGAACATGTCTGTGTTTTGTTGTCAGATAAAGAAATTCTGTGAAGCTTTAAAGCCTTTCAGTCCTCAAATATTAATTGATAAATGTGTCTGTAGGAATGATGGGCACACGCAGAGAAGCAGGAGCATAACCTCAGACAAGCACCATTGCCGTTATTGTCCTAGCTGCTCCTGTCCTTTCCAAGTTACCCCATTTACTTTTTCTGTTCATCATTAAATATTTTCAGCTTAAAGGAACAGTCATTTGTTTTATCAACAGCTTTTGTCCCTTCCAGCCTGATTTATCCTATGATATCCTTATGATCCTTTGCAGACAAGGAAGTAATGTTCTTTAAAGAATCTCACATTACAGTTTGTTCTGCGGAGTAAAGCTCCGTGTATAATGATCCCTCATTATATGTTGTTCACTGCAGCTCCATGCTGCAGCCAGCTGCACCCCGATGAGAAGAGAAACACAGGCTGCCCTCTTCTGAACAGGTGTCTCAAAATGCTTGCAGAATTGGAGCCAGAATTGCCTTGTTGCAGCCATGACTGTGACTCTTACTAACTTAACTTGTTATACTATATCAACTTCAATGAGCTATATATGCTTAAATTCTTCAAATTAAGTCATGTTAGATTTGAAGAATAAGAAGTGCATATAAAACTATATTCCATTCCAAAGATATGGTTTGTTCTTAAGTTTTGAAACATGCTGCCACATTAAAACATTTCAAAACATTAATAGAAACCTTGGAAGTGGGTAATTATCAGACACAAGGATTTATATGGCTAAAGGATGCAAACTACCATTCTAATTTCAGAGTTTACTTGGGCAGAGATTTTATAAAATCCCAATGTGAGCTATCCGCTCATAACTACTGAAATGCCAAGAGGTATGGACAGACCATTTCTAAGGGCCACACTGAAGTGCCTTGCTTATGCAATAACACCATTCCTAAAAAGCACTCTGCCCTGCAAAACTCAACTTATGAGAAGTTATAGACTTCAGGTAACTGAGGATTTAACACTGAGCTATTTATCTCTGAAATTCATGACTCCCATAGAAAGAATAACTGAAATGTGTATTCATTTTAAGCTCTTGTACCAAGCTGGATAATCTGATCTCTTTTTTTTTATTTTTTTTATTTCTTATTATGTTAAAAGCATTTTGGGTACACAGAGAAACATTCTGTGGTACTGGGCAGAAGATAGCTTCAGAAGCCAGAAGATATCACAGACTGAGTTGTCCTCCAGTCCATTTTGGCACTGCTTTCCAGCAACAGCAAGTTTTCCAGGAGTCTAGCCTGGGTTGCCAGTAACAGCCACTTTTGAGGTAACAGTATGACACTTCTAGAGCTTGTCGAAACACTCAAATTGGATTCAAGCACGTACTTAAAGTCAAGCACAACGTCAGTGCCTGGCTTGAGGGTCTGGAGGCTCTCGTGAGTCATGCTAATGCACAGCACACCAACCGCCACTGAGGATGAAGAAGAGACACTGAGAAAAAAAAGTGAGACACCAGGCAGAATCATCTTTGATTGCTTTTGCTATGTATCCAGCAGTAAAAAAGAAAACATAGCCAAGTCTTCTTCTATGCCACGATTCTTCTGTGCCTTCTTCTATTAGGATGCTTTAACAGTAAATAGATCGGCAGTGTTGTTCACACAAACAACAAACAAGCAAAGTCCTTTCCCTCCTCACTTGTGCTGTAAACCCAGAACAGCTCCAAAGGGATGAATGGAGTTATTCTAGATAAGCAAAACACACAGGGTGCTTAGTTTTATTTGAGTAGCTCTATTTGAAATGGCAGGCCCACTGAAGGTGGTAGTAAAATTCCACACCAAGATTTCACTACTATAGCATTTTTTACATACTACCTCGTGTTTGTAATACATTTGATACCTTCTAGTTGAAAATAAATTCTTCTTAGAAAATAATATTATATGCAAAACAGCAGTCAATACAAAGTATAAATAGATGCAAAGGCAATCTTGCAAGAAAATGAAAAGGCAAAGAAGCAAAAACAACCTTAGATAGCATTTTCTGAAATGAATAGATATGTGCTGTTGGGTCTGGACAAGAACCTCTCATCTGCTTTAATAATCAGATATATTTGTCTGGCTTACCTTCATATAACCAGTCTGCAATTCCATTAAAAATAATTCCTTCTTTTCCCGAAGATGTCAGGCGCAATGAGCTACTCCTTACATCAGGCTGATAGTAGATGTTATTTTCAAAAATATAAATCTGGATGAGGTAAGATGATGGAGAGAAAAAAGAACATTTTGGTAGATATAAATGAATGTTCAGCAATGAATATATAATTTCCTCAGGCTCAGAACAGTATATAGAATAATTCAGCATGAGTTTTCACCAACATTGGCTTCATATTTCTTTTTATTATCAATTTGGACAAACTAAGCAAACTTTTAATACTTATGACAAGCCAAATTCTTCCTTTGAAATTGTCTTCCCAGTTGAAATGTTTCTATTAACTTTAAGAAATATTATTACAGTCCTGAGAATCATAGAGGAGACGAGTTTTATAGAAGTTGACCAGATAAAGAAATTTTCCATTAATTCCATTCTATCTAATAAAATCATCTGTTTTTCTAGCTGTGAAATTAGACACACTTCTGCAAGTACATATAGCACAGTACATACATCATAAATGTAAGTTACAGCTTTATATCATGGTGCGACGACAAACTGGAAAAGCGAAAATAAATAGCAGACTGCCGTTAACTTTTCTCAGCTTGCTGACACTATTTCTGACTCTGACACACAAACATTTTACCTCGTGTGCTATATAAATGCCCTTTATTTTCAAGTCTAGGCTCCTCCTCCTTTTCCTGCAAGTTACAGACTAGACAGACAGACCTTTCCTCCTTCACTGCCACTTCTCAGCCTTCTCCGCTTTTCTTTCCCTGCTCGCTTTGTTGCAAAGGATTTCAAGTTCACTCATTTTGTGAGAATGAGCTCCAGGCTCCAGGCCAAAAAGCAAAAAAAGGAAGATAAAGGCCAAAAAAAACCCCAAAACCCAACCCCCCCAAAAAAGAAAAGAATAACAAAAGACTTTGGAGGAGTATGGGGATGGCAAAAAGGGCAGGAGACAAATACAGTGATGACGAGCAAGGTTTATGACATGGAAATTCTTACGTACTCAGACATATGCCACAACAGGCTATACGTCAGCCAGGAGACCTTCAAGCACTTCACTGCAGTGCCATTTACGTACGTATTGTCCCAAACTTCTTCATTGGCCCTATCTTTCCCAGTCTGGGATAATAAGAAACAAACGTTTGAGATACTAACAAGCCAAAAACTATAGATGGGTATAAAAAGCAGAACCACAGCTACCAGCATTTCCTGTAATAATGCTCTTAATCCTTTTCGTCTGTACTCCTGCATACCTCATTTTCCTGACTTGTCAATGCCTGTGACTAGACTCTTATTTCAGCTATAATCATCTCAGAGTTGTAGCCTTTTTCTTTACTTTATTGTTAAATTACAATGGCCGCATATGTGCTTGCACAGCTTAACAATGCAATCAAACTAATATCAATATTATGCACCATCTCGATTCACACTAAGAAAACGCAGCTAACAGCAATAGAGAAGCAACACACAATAGAAATTTTTGTTACATGATTTCACCAGCGTACGTTGATATATGGAGTCTCAGGGACTGCTAACATGAAGTAAATATATTTCCACCAAGGACCATTGTAAAAGCCTAGTCATTTATTATTCTCTCGTATTTCTATTATAAATGACTTATGGGAAAATAGTAACCAGAGAACAAAGTATTATCACTATTACTGCTGTTCTCTTTGCTTCTAATTTACCATGATTTCCACTGAATTAAGCAATAAAGCTGGGTTTTTTTTCATACCATGAGCAATACAATGATTTTCACCATTACTGGGAATCAAAGGTGACTTGGAACAAAGTACTTTATGGTCAGAAATTAGAAACTCAGCAGTGAGTTCAAAACTGAAGTCAAAATAGTTGATTGAGTATGAATAATCCAAAACTTCCTGACCAGTAATTACATTCATAATTTTATAAATAATATTTGGTACAGTTGAGAATTTGTGGGAAGCTGATGTATGACCCAGCATTAACACCAACAGAAAACCAGAATTAGAGAAAGCTGGACATACAAGCTTTTGAAATAATATCGATAAACACTTCTTGTCAATGTACATTTCCACAGTAAAAATGTACCTTTTTTCCTAAGGTAAAAGAAACAAATACGAGTACTAACAAGGCACAGCTAATTGCTTAACCAAGAAAAGTACAGTAATTCAGCCAGTACTTGCTATTTAAGTAAACTAAAAATATTCTTATCAGACTAAATTACAGATAGCAGTAGTGGGAAACACTCTATTGACTAGTGCTTAGAAAGGAGCCATTCCTTACAGCTGACAATCTCTTCTTATATAAACAACTGTTTTCAGGAGATTATAGAAAAAGCCCACTTGATCAAATGATTCTATGTTATTTAAGCTTCTTTAATTAAATAAGCTCAATCTAATTCATTTTTAAAGATTAGAAGTATCATTTTTGCTTCTCTCTCCCCACCTTTTCAGGCTATTTCTATTTTTAATGGTGAAGATACCCGTAGTGTCTAGTCTCTACAAAGAAAAATTTTCATTTAAAGCCATCATTGCCAGTCAAAGTACAGGATTAAGAACTACTTGTTTTATGACTGAACCATGAAAAGGTCTTTAATCCTGTTATTACTAGTTAGCAGGCATTGCTAATTCCATTTGACACATTTCAGATAAGTAAATATCTCAGAAGCAATACTCACTGTTGTGCCACTGATTGTCGGCTTCCTCAGCTTTATTCCCCATTCATTTCCCAAAGCAGCTTTGTCTCCCTCCTCAACCAGTTCTCAGCCACCCAATCCTCTTAGTCTACTCTCTCATCCAAAGTCTCCCTTCTCTCCTCATCACTTGTGGCACATGTTCTTTCAACTTTGAAAGCTAGCCCAAAGAACAATTTTTGTCTTGAACACATGGATTGGAACATTTTAAAGTTCTTGAAAAACTTAAAAGCCACACAGCACCTCTCTCCCTAGCAAGTCTTGAGCTCATGGCTTGCCTGAATTTAACATTAAAAATGATGTTCCTTTGCAAAACATTTATGAAATACAACCGTTCATGTTCCTCTGCATCACTAAACAATATGGAAATACACATTGATGATTTAGGGTTGGCAAACTAGCAAGTATTGCTCTGCACTGCCTGCAGCATTTCAAAAGATCAATATCCCCATGCTTGAGGCTGTAAAAAACATCTTAGAAAGATTCACCATTATGGTTAGTCATTTAATCTCATCTATAATTTTGAATATTTTTTATATTTCAGGAGGTGCCATTTTCCACATAAAGCCCACAAACTGCTGTTTGTACCGACAGGAATGGCTTCGTGCACATTTCCTACAGTGACGCTGCCTAACCCCTGCAGTCAGGACCACATTCCCCTTCACTCCTGACCATGCCAAAGTGCTCATCTGTAATTAATTCCTTCACCTCTTGGCAATAAGGACTTGAAGGTAAAATGTTGATTTCTTCAGCAAAACAGTCAGCAGAGTTGTAATAGGAGTGGCAACATTGTTGTGAAGGCTACTAGTCACAGACAGAGAGGCTCTCTGCTTTGCTTTCTGTAAATCCGAGATATGGATTCAATTAAGCACAAGTACTTTGTGTAGCCACGAAAACCAATCTCTGATCTTACATTACAGCCAGAGCAATGCAGCCAAGAAATTTCTAAAAGGCATACTCATTGTGAATTCTTGTTCCCAGTATAATATTTATATGATAGAATTGTACCTCACATGTAACCCTAAAACCACTAAAATTGTAACAGAATCATAGATGTATAGAATGGTTTGGGTTGGAAGGGACCTTTACAGGTCAGCTAGTTCCAACCCCCCCCCGCCATGGGCAGAGACAGCCTCACTAGCCCACATTGCCCAAAGCCCCAACCTGGCCTTGAACACTTGCAGGGATGGAGCCTCCACAACTTCTCTGGGCAACGTCTTCCAGTGTCTCACCACCCTCATAGAGAAGAATTTCTTCCTAATATCTAATCTATATCTACCTTCTTTCAGTTTAAGACCATTACCCCTTGTCCTATCACTCCATGCCCTTGTAAACAGTCCCTCTCCAGGTTTCCTCTAGGCCCCTTTAGGTACCGGAAAGGCTGCTATAAGGTCTCCCTGGAGACTTCTCCAGGCTGAACAACGCCAACTCTCTCAGCCTGTCTCCATAGGAGAGGTGCTCCAGCCCTTTGATCATCTTCGTGGCCTCCTCTAGACTCGCTCCAACAGCTCCATGTCCTTCTTGTACTGGGGACTCCAGAGCTGGACGCAGTACTCCAGGTGGGGTCTCACGAGAGTGGAGTAGAGGGGCAGAATCACCTCCCTCGACTTGCTGGTCACACTTCTTTTTATGTAGCCCAGGACACGGTTGGCTTTCTGGGCTGCAAGATCACCACTTGAAATTAATTTTGTTCACAACATTGTGAATAGTTCTTGCTTGCTTTTGTCTAGTGTTTGCACATACAGCACTGACCAGCAGCGAAGCGTCTTGGCTTTGTGTACCTCTGGAATAGCCATGACTAGAGCAACCATGTATGCAACAACTGTGGTTTTACCAGAGAGCAGAGAAGTGGGCTTTTTTCGACCCATTTAGTCCTTGGGTGCTAAGTCCTGCTGTGGCCACACCACCACTCCATGCTCCAACTGCTGCAAGAGATGCTGTCAAATGTGAAGTGACTTTAGGAGTAAAATGGACACTGGTTTCATGTGGATTATCATGAGTACACCAACTAAGAACGGAAAATATTCCTTAGCTGAAACATGAAAAAAATCCTACATTAGAAAGCAGAAGAAGTCTTTAAATATCATGGTAAAGCTCTCCCCTTGCCACAAATCACCTAAATTCCTTTTTATGGTTCATATGTTTTTAGGTTTCTTGTTCAATTTAAACACTGCCACCAAGGCTTTCTGGTGAAAACAATATGTGTATAAAATGCCTTATGGCTCTACTTTATGTTGCATTAAAATATATTTCCAAGCTTTTATTTCAAAACCACAAAGACTAGACAGAAATTTTTATTTTTTAGGTGCTGGCTGCTGCTTAGTTGCAGTACAGAAATACATAGAAGCTGAAATTATTAGGCAGAGTTCAACTTTTAATATTAAGTGAAAGAGAGAGCAAGTGGCTGGGAGAG